TTTACAAGGATGAATTTATTTCTCGAAGAGATGGAGAACACTTGAGCTTGAGGTAAGCTGAATTCAATAGATTTTCGCACCTCCGCGCGCATTATGTGTTATTCATGTGTTTGCCCTTTTCGAAACTTCCATATTCCGCGTAGCTTTACCCATCTCTCATTCGATTTTTTTTCTCTCTAGACTGCTTCATCAAGCGAAATGGAAGTTCGCCGTGGACCTTAAGTTAAAATGAGCGAATGGAAATTTGTGACACGATTGCATTTTGTACCTTTGAGTTCTGAGACGGAGAATACCGAGACGGAAGCCGCTTAGGTATCATAAATAGCTGTCACTGGTGTTTGAGTTTCTCTTGGTACGGAAGATCTAGCGAGCATGACTGTAGCTTGCCTTTATTTTTTTCAAGGACGAAAGAGATTGTAAGAAGGATTTTTATAGTGTAATATCAAAACCTTGAAAACAGATAAACTGTAGGAGAGCTTTTTCTGAAACCCAATTATCCGAACATGCAGGATTTTTTTCTATCTGGGCAACATCATCTTTTTTTCCAAAAGCAGAACATTTAGATAACATTTAGATTTGATTTTGTGTACGTGTTGTTGTTCTGTATGGTGGCCGAATATGAACGCGGGACATTGGCGCGTTCGCCAGATTCGCCACGTGAGAGTGAATTGCTGCTGTTTACGATCATGGTTTTGACATTTCTTTTGTGAGAGCCGACGTAAATGTTGTTCCCAACGTCGCTGATTGATGTAACACTGTGCTCATCTTCGTGTAATTTCATATCAGTTTAACTTCCTCGGGTTTGGCGCATAGAAATCTTTTAAATTTTAGATATGTTATATTTTTCAACATAACAAAGCAATAGACGAAATAAAAAGTTGTTCGAATGAGTCTTAAGCTATCTTAATTCAACTTTAAAATTCAAATTTCGCGCTTTTCGCTGTATTGACCAATCAGAGCATTCAGATTTAATTTGATTAGAGAAATTAGCGCCTGAAAAATAACTGACGCTATTGCCGCGGGCTATTGTTTTTCTGCCTGCTTCTTAGCTGGACCATTTAATTGTTCGCGACGCGAGAGTATTTCCGGGCAATTGGTTTGAATTTATTTATCCCCATAATTAAAGTTTATTCTTTGCTACTCCTCAGATATATGTTGCAGCCGATAAGAATAAGATTTACAGCCCTGTCTTGCTTTGAAACAAACATTTACCAACGTGTATTTTTACGACGTCGTACGCACGCTAACAAAACAGTCACCGATCGGCAAACAAAATTTGTAAACAAACATCTTATTACTGTTCTCTCAGTTCGCCTTATATAAACCCAGAAATACCGACAAATAGCGCCTGACCGGTGACAAAAACACACAACGTATGAGTATAAAGATTATCCTTAATTGAGCATAAATTTCAATTGCTTATCAGCAAATGAACAAATTCATTCGCGTTGCATCGGGTCAATGTTCCGCAAAACAAATGTTATCGAGTAGCACACATAAAGAAACTAGATTATAAACAGAATATTCAGGCAATAATTTATTTTAAAAACATCAATTCTTAAACATATACGATCGTAAAGCAAAGATACAAGGAACATTTCATGTGTACCAGATCGGTAAAGATCGCGCGGCCTGTTGCGGTATAACTACAGGTCGGAGTCAAAAATCAAATCAAAGTTGAACGAACTCATGCCTTTAACCACTTTCCAAGTCTCGTGTATTCTTTTCGTATGCCACACACTACTCCTAGAACCATACCAGTTCGATAGGCTAAGCTTCTCTATCTCCAGAGACTCTTGAGAACGTCCTGTTGCCGGAGGGCCACGATGCTTTTCTGAACCTCCATGATCGAAACATTATTTTTTGCGTCTTCTTAAAACGCAACCAGTCAAACGACACAACCACACGTTAATCACCACTACCGAAGTATAACTAGACCAGCCAAAGCGACGGATGTCCGAATAAAACGAAGGATTTTCAATGATTGTACCGCTAATGGCGATTTCGAATTTAGTGTTGACCCAACAAATTTATTCTGAAGAGACAAACGGCGCGCATGCGCATTATCGTGAACCAGTCCCTTTAAACCCACTATCCTGAACAATTGAAACAGGTTTGTGTCCCGGGGGGTAATCAACAAAGCTTCATACGGAGAGGCTCCGCCCAGAGGTCTAACCCCGTACTCTTTTATATTCCATATTTAACAGAAAAAGTTCCCCTTTCGTATACCTTCTATTGATAAATGGTACCCTTTTCACATACCTTGTTTCGAACTTTGCATCCCTTTTAACTGCTGTAAATGCACTGTCTTTAAAACGTGAATAAGTCACAAAACCAGAACGTTCTGTTAGCCACCACATGTCCATCAACACCTTGTAACAGAAAGCGGCTGAATTTTTGTTTTGTTCTTGAAAGATAGGGTTTATTCAAAGAGTCATTGGGGAGGGCAGGTGTGCATCATACCACCATATGATATTAGGAGTGGGCATAGTGTGGGCCTTTGTAATGATTGCGGTTTATCGTACAGGTCTTAGATAGTGATACCTGTAGAATGAAATCCTGCAATGCTTTTCTCACCATCAGAGAAGAGACGACCAGGAGAAAGCAGCAGAAGAGCTAGATCACCAGGGATGACTGAAGGTACGCTTTAAGGCTTTCTGTTTGTTGTAATCCATACATATTAAAAGACTTAAAAGGAAATTGACTCTGTTTTCTTCTGCATACATGTATCACAGGCTTAATGTTCAAAGGAGTCTTTCATAAACGGATAATAGGGACTTTAAGATCCAACGACGCGAAAGGTAACGAGAACGTCAAAAAAACAATAAACAATTATTGGATGAGGTTGAGCATGATATCATGAATTATCAAAACCGAGGTCTGTGTTCAGCTAGGAATTCAACTCCGGAGGGTTCGCCTACATTTGACAAAGTGACGACGTTCTCATTGCCTTCGTGTCGTTGGATCTTAAAGTCCCTAATAATAGACAGGATAAAATAGAAACCTGATTAGAAGATTCTTTAGCAACGTCGTCCCTAGGGTCTTCTCGGTTTTATAGTACGCACTATGTCACCGTCTGTTTTAGTCTTCGCGTAGAATGACCCGTGACATCCGGGAATTTTAACAGGCAAGAGCCGCATTCGAGCCACGATGTGGTCTTAAAAATTTGGCAGCTACTTTAGGAGTTTTCGACTCTGATTGTTAGTTAATAGTAGTCAATTCTCAATGGGTACCACCGGAATATAAATAACAAGAAACGTCAAATTTAATGTCTTACCTTCGATTAATGCCAGCTTATCGGATTTCACTGGGATTTTCCCGCCGTTTTTGTATGGATTTTCTCGTGCGCGGACTTCTGACCTCAATAGACTGGGAATTCAGTGCGATGCATAATAACAAAGTTGAGACATTTAAAGTATATATCGTTAATGAAAAATGAATTACGTTTTTCCTTAGAAAGTCATATTGAAAAGAGGGGGTAGGGACAGCTTGTGCCGAAGAATAGCTAGCCTCCCACGCAGACGTTTTTAGGGGAGCTCGTTTTTCATCCCTCCACACAAACGCCTGCTCAACCGGAAACAACATTCCTTTCCCATTGTTTTATTTGCGTGGTAAGAGACCAATAAACAGTTGTGCAATAAAGTGTTGACAGGCTAAACGCGACTAAAACGTAACCCTACAGTTAGCGTTTTCCTTCTTTTCTTTCCTTCGTTAAGGTTATGAAGTGCATGGAGTATTCTAAAATTTGATTAAATCTTATTTTTGCCGCTCTGAATCTAGCATTTATTGGAGGTTAGAAAGTTTTTCCAGTGTTTCATGCAGATAGCGTAATTATCAGATTACCTTGCGGTCAAGGTCAACTTTCCAGAATTTGGAAAGTACCATGTGATTGGCTAAGCTTGGGTAAGGAATGTTGTCTTCGGTTGAGCAGGCGTTTGTGAGGATTAGAGAAAAACGAGCTCCCTTAAAAACGCCTGCGTGGGAGGCTAAAGAATAGCCCACGTTTGATATATTAGAATTCTAGCATGACTACGGGGCATTCTGGTCATTTTTCTATAATTGGTTAGGTTTTCTTTTTGTTCAAGTCTCTTCTGGAAATTGCGAGACAATGGAGTCGTGAACAATTTTCAATTTTGACCCTAAAGCCTCGAATTCCTGTTAGAATTTTATATATCGAACGTGAGCTATTGGCATGTTAACGTTGGTAAGGGTCAGGATTTATCCTAACTTAGGAGGTCTTCGTTTATGCAGCCTCCGGATTCGTTTTCTGTAAAGCGAGTTGTACGTAAGTGACAGGGTCTTTCATGAACGGTTGCTGCTCATAGAGTAAACAGAAGTTAAGTTGTTCAATTCTTAGTTTCCGAAGGAAAACGTTAACTTTTCTTGTTTTTATTCTTTTTTAAGAAGTCAAAGATGGCGCGGTTGCTGACGATGATTTTGTCGCTAAAGCCTCGGAGTCATGTTAGAATTTTGATATCGTAAGCTATTGGCATGTTCGCGCCGGTAAGGGTTAGGATTTATCCTGACTTGGGAGGCCTTCGTTTATGCAGCCTCTGATTCGTGTTCTGTAAAGCCAAGAGCCATCTGTCCTATTATGGCTCTTGGTAAAGCTAGTCGTACGTAAGTCACAGGGTCTTTTATGAACGGTTGCTGCTCGTAGAAGAAACAGAAATTAACTTGTTCAATTCTTAGTTTTCGAAGAAAAACGTTAACATTTTTGTTTTCATTCTTATTTTTAGTCAAAGATGGCGTGGTTGCTGACGATGATTTGGAAGGGTTATCTTTGCAGCTTGGGAGTCCATGGAAATCTCTTGCGCGGCGCCTGAAATTCAGCCCAGCAGAAATAGACGGGTTTGACCACGCTGAGAAAGAACTCGCAGAGAAATCTTTCCGCATGTTGTGTAGGTGGAAAGAAAAAAGTGGTCTCTCAGGAGCAACTTACAAGGTCTTGTATGAGGCCTTGTGTCATAAATATGTTGATCGCAAAGATTTAGCAGGACGGTTTTGCAATGCGTGAATCTTCAGATCAAAGCGAGAAGAATCAAAAGCTCCTGTGAGCCAGCTCATGGATTAATTGGACAAGTGTAGAAAGGACAGTTCAATAATCAAAGTAATACAATGGGAACTCGTGATAAAATAAAAGAAAATATTATTTTAAGTTAAAAATTACGGTTTATCTTTGTAGCAGGAGACATACGTGCTAAAAAGTCTTATTTGAGTATTATAGTCAGCAATGAATGTTAATACAATCGAAACTCTCCTTGCGAATCGCGATCACTCTCGCAAGCGACCAGCACCAGTCACGACCACCTTTGTGAAACTCCGTTCAAACTGTGACTTAAACTTTGCAATGAAAAGCTCTCGTAAGCGAGCGCGGCCACTTTTGTGATTATCCAACTGGCACTCACTTAAATGAAACACTGCGCTAATAGTTCGTTGATAAAGATCTTGTACAGTGCAGTATGTCTTTGAAAACTGTGTCTACATCAGATATGAAGACAGTCATCAATTTCTTTAATTTGTTTTTTCTTTATGAGTTATTAATGAATTTGTGAAGTTCTCATAATCCACCACCCGCTATTGTTTTATCATGCAGTCGCTTACGACAGCTTATTCTCGTAAGCGACCAGCTCCAGTAACGACCACTTTTTCGAATTTCAGAGGTGGTCGCTTACGAAAGCTTCGACTATATTGTACAATAATTAATGCTGTAAATATTTTTTTTATCAGTTTTTGATTGTATGATATTTTATTATCATTAATTTAATTTTTTTTATTTTGGTATTGCTTGGTGGCACCACGCAGTCACCCCCATTTTAGGACTAGTAATTTTTGAATAAAAGTTATGAATGTAAGTTATTAGAATATTTTCCAGCAGGAGTTCTTTTGATGCACATGCCAATCCTATTTTTGTAAGCTTGCGAATTTTAAAATTTGAAGATATTATCAAACTCCAAATAGGTAAAGTTATGTACCTTTATAAAAACGGCCTTCTTCCTAACAATTTCAATGACATGTTTTTGCATTCATATAACACATGAAGTAAGAATTCCTTCCGTTTGTCCTACTGCAGCCAAATGTAAGGAAATTTTCACATCGTTTTCAAGGGCCCAAAATATTTAATTCCCTTAGCTCTGAAATTCAGAATGCCTTCAGTACTGCTTTGTTCAATTCTAAACTTAAGTCATTTTTTCTTGGTATAAGCACACTTTAGCTCTCCTAATGCTTGAGTGTAGTTTTTCGCTTCTTTCGCTTTTTTTTTCTCGTTTATTCTTGCGTTATTGTTTCTCACCTTTTCTTTCTCGTTTTTGCACTAACACGTTCAGCCCTTTCTATTTTTATCCTTTTAATGACTATTTTCTTTGTTCCAAACAAATTGTGCGTGCTTAGAGTAAGATTGCCGATGTCAGTATTGTAATTATTAATTAGATAACAATTTTAAAGGTGGTCTCCCTTGCCTCATCTTTTTTTTAAATTTAATATGTATATTTTGTGTGTATGGCAAAACAATAAAAGTTGAAGCCTTAAGACAGTCAAGTAGACTTTCTTGTTAGAGATTAAAGTGCCTTTCGTTCTTCTCGTGAGGAGGTTTTGTTGTTTTGTGATGCATTTGTTGTAACCAAGCTGATTAACGTGATAAGGATGTCAGGTTTGTTTTTGTGTCCTTTGCTACCGGTTGATACAACAAATTGTCGATTCGTCCAAATAAAATCAAACTAAAGTAAATACTCCCCAACGTCGCTTTAACAATTCAACGTCGATTTTTCGCAGCTATGGTTCTTTGGCTTTTTAGCTTTTCACTGAACGAAATGCCATCCTCAGGCCGTCATTACGCGATAGCACTTAATTGATCGCGTCCTTTTCAATAATCAAGAAGCAAAAGTGTTCAAAAAAGTAGCATATCCTATCAAACGTGGGATTGTGATGTTTTAGGGTCCAAAAATGCCTGCGGAAAATCCCTCTGGAGCGTGCTCTAACCTCAAGCCGCAAATCTGACGGCAAAGCACTAGTCACGTGATTTCTTGACGTTTGCGGTTTGCGGGAACTACCGAAAAACCTCGATCTATAAGGTCTCTATTAACTTTCCACTTGTTTCCATTGTACTAATACCCATCTTCAGCTGGCCACGAAAAATCTTACTACGAGGCTGCCTATATGGCACGCCCAGTTATGAATTATCTTCCGTCGGGTCGACCTGCACCGATTCCAAACCAGGTCTTTGATTGGCTGGGAAAACGATAGGGCTGGTGACATAACAATGCCTCTATCTCTGAATAGTGCAGACGAAATACGAGGTTTAGAACGGTACTGCTGGTGAATAGTTTCAGTCGAAAAATGAACGCTGTTGGTTTATTAACTCAGAAAGCGTTGCGTGTTTCCATGAAGCATCTTTGCAGCTTCTGTTTAAAGTCTCCCCAGATCAAATGTTCTGATTCTCCAACTAAAAATCCTTGAAAAGTACAAATATATAACTCGTATATGTACCCTCGGCTAGGAACAACCTTTTCCGTTTAGAAAGAGCCATTTAGCTGCAATTGCTCTTAATCGATCGACTATTAGAAGCTCTTTGATTTCGATACAATGTCGCAAGTGGACTAGTCTTCTGTGAGGTTAAATAAGGCATTCGACCTTATTGAATCCGAGATTTGCTGTCAGCCAAGCGAGAGAAGCGAGAGTGTGAGGTGAAAAAAAGCAAAAAAAAATATGTTTCCTGGTGTTACGGAAGTTGCAATGACCCAATGACGTAATTCAAAAGATTGAAAAAAACCCTGAACTATACCCGTACCACAATAATGCAAACCAACAATAGTTTCAGCAACTGCGAGAAACATCCAAACATCTGCGACGGAGTGTGTAAGGTAAGTTTCTATCCTTCCCCAAGGCTCCTATTCTTTTTGCTATTATGGTTCGGAGTTGTCTCGCAGACAAACGATTCAGTTAGCAAATACAATTCCATGACCTTTCAAGGGCTCTATCCTCCGCAGAAGCTCAAAGGGGCATGGCATGGCGAGAGTGAGTGCGGGCGCAAAATGTTTGGTAAGAATCTTTCGGTTTTTGCGCCTGCACTCACTTTGCGCAGCGGAACGTATGAGAGAGTTCCAAGGGACCACGAGAAAAGAGGACTTTTGCTCCAGTCTGTAAATGTCAGCAGCCCATCATCATCGTCATAGGCTCCTGTAAAAGTCCTTTATTGTAAAGCTCGCTTAACCCTTAGTCCCAATGGTGACCAACATCAATTTTCTCCTAACAATATCCATAGATTGTCCAGAGATTAGGTTATAAGAATTAATAAATTGATCACCTAAGAGAAAATGCTTTGATCTTTTATCAAATTCCCTCAACACATTCTTTAAGGAAATTTATAGAGATCAGTTTGGAGAATTTGTATGTGGACATTCTAAGAACTTATGTGGTCGACTTGTAGCAAGTTTACCCATTGAGTAAACAAATGAAAACTTTAAACGGGCAAAAACGATCCAACGATTTGGTAATTTACCCTCTAACAAACCTTAGCTAACTATATTTAAGAGACTATTATTTGTTGTTTTAAAATAATTTATTTGATTTTTTTTTGGTTCATTAACTTTGTACAACTACTACTAATACACAATGGTACCCTTAAAATGAAGACCAGTGAATTAAATGAACGAGCTAAATGTGTAAATGACACCCCAAGAGATGACTGCATATTTGGTAACCATTTGTGCCTGAGCGCACCCTTACAACTGCTGAGAGAGCAGGCCACCATTTTCCAAAATATCCTCGTTAATTATTTCATAACTATCTGAATCTACTATACCGTTCACTCGAAAACGAAACGAGAGCGACGGTTCCGGGTTCGGTAGATACTTCCAAGTATTCCGTGATGAGCATCAGATGATTTGTTCACTTCTCATTAAAAGAACTTACAAGATGCACTGCTAACTTCCACGCGGAAAGCGCACTACTAGTCGCATGAGAGGTTCCACAATAGGGTTCTTCAATCCCGTAATCCCGACCCGAAATTTCGTGCAATCCCGTAATCCCGAGGGTTATTTTTGGTATCCCACATCCCGCGCATAATTTCAATCTCGATCTCGCGCCAAATTTTCTTTAAAATCCCGAATCTCGAGCTTCAAAGTATTTTGGGGACCCTCACAAGAGGTTCTTTTCACCGACGTGTTTCGTAACAACGCTGGTGGACTGGATGAAAACAAGGCATTTTTTGAAAAATGGCAATGACTCTCCTATCCATACATTTTTTCATTAACTATTTCTAATTCAACTGTCCTTCAATAATCTTACATGTTTAATACTCTTGATTAGCAACCCATATTTAACTTTTTTATCTATAGCCACATTTATGCAATACTCAGTACTGTACGCCAAGGCAGGGTTGCACTGTTTCGATGGCTGGTCATCGATTCTCTTGAAGAAAAGGACTGCGGGCGCATTTGTCGAACAGCGGCTGGTTATCGAGCCAAAATCCACGGTGCATTTGTGGAGGTGAGGGGGTTGACACACCTAAAATACAACTTATAATGGTTCACCCTATTATACAAATATTACGGTACTCCCAAAGTTTGATAACATTAATATATATATATATATAAACTGCGAGCCACCAAAGCTCGGATATTTTGTTCTTGAATGTCAATTAGTAGGGAGCGTAAGAAACCAGGACAAAGGCGGAAAACGAGAACTTCAATAAATCACGAGCAACACATCACACTCAGGGGCGACGACGTGAAACTTCCTCATGCGACGTTTTATGGAGGACGTGAACACACAACGCAGAAGAATATTTTCTCCCTTTAAACTTGGATACAGTCCTTATATAAGAGTTTACCTCCAGGAAACTGATTTCCCTACAATAATTGACAAACTAAGGGAGGTCAAACAAACGCGATTAAGTACAAATTCATGTTTTTGTGACGGTTTTACTACTGTCGCTGTCGTGACACCCTGCCACCAGAGCCTCTTTTGACCTCGTCTTGATCGAGGAGGAGTAAAGGTGATGTTACACGAGACGATTCACAACAACGATTTTTAGCGCAACACAGAGTTGCAACGTTAGAACAACGTTGTAACTATTCGAAACAATATCGCAACAATGTTGCAACGCTGTGTTGCGCTAAAAATCGTTGCTCCTCCTCGATCACCTTAAGGAAGCACATAACTGAGCCCAACGGAGCCCGATATACCAAGCGCAAGGCGATTAGGCCTGGGTTCGAACATGTAGCCTAGCAACACGCCGCGCATGCTCAACAAAGATCTCACTCGATTCATGTAGAATCTTGGCAGATTACGCTAAAAGAAAAGCTCTGCTGACAGGGTGCATGGTGATTGCTTAAGCTCCCAAATTTTGAGGAAGAGATTTCATTAAGTTGTAAGTTACCAATCTTTATGTACACCTAGATCAAGAGCGACTGCTCAAATACATAAATAGGGTACCATTTTGTGACTACAATCACAATAAAACAGCCTTTGATTGCAAATAGAGAGCTTTAGATTCTGAGACGAGTACGACTACGAGTACGAGACTTTCTCAATACCGAGTATTGCTCACGCGTGAACCAGCACCATTTTGGCGGTAAAATGTGGTAGCCGTCGTTACTCTACTACGAGTTTTGGCGAGAATGTCAAGTGGCGGAAGCAAGTTATCAAATGTTAGAAGTTTTATCACTTGGCGATCGGGAGAGGGTGTAACCACCTTCACTAAAGGAAAAGGTGCCAATTTTTCTAGTGAAAATGGTAAAATGAAGCTTTCTGGGGAGTCTATGTTTTGAGAATACGCTAAAAAACTTTAAAGACAAATCTCGTACAAGTAGTTGTCCTCGCCCTTGAATCTACAGGTCTCTAATAATCCCGACACACAACATTCTTGCTATGAACCCCAGATCTTGCTCGTCTCGATGAGCGAGGGCAATCTTTGGATTATTTGTCAGTTTTGGACGTTACCCAGCAACCATCACTATGGCAACATCAGAATGAATTACTAAAATATCCGGTAAGATTCCGTTATGTTGAAGTAAAACATCATAGTGACTAATATTGATATTACGTGTAATTTCACACTATATAATTTCAATAAATCTCTCTGAGGCCAACTCAAAAAACAAAAATAATGCTGTAAGATCAACTCGCCATATTATTGATAAAAATAGTTAATAACATCCTAGCTTTATGAGCACACTGAGGAAAGTCCTGCATGAATATCGTTTCCATGTGTGGTCTAGTGAACTGAGACGTCCAGTGATGAACGCCAACAAGACTTGACGGGCAAAATGATTTGAACTCGTTTTGAAGGTAACAGATCCGAGATTCTACTCCATGGCAGCGGCTGATAACCAACGAATACAGAAGTGAAGCGGAATGCGATGATTGATGATAGATGATACCAATATTAGAAATACCCTTCAGTGCAAATTTCAGTTAAATATACCGTTGCGGTTGAGTTTTCTTTTTTTTTTCATACTGATGTATTCTGGTTCAAATTATACGAGCATCCTTAGTGGAATGACTGCAAAGCTTTGACAGCGCAGTTCTGCGATCAAGACTACCATCACACACTCTAAAGAGGTGTGGGCCGAAAACGAGTGCATTACAATGTTTTGCCACGGTTGGCAGCAGCAGTTTTCTTATCCTTCGAGATGCAATGCCACTTTCAAAAGAGAGCAAAGCGTTTTTCATTGACGTTCTGCTGGATATCTTTTAAATTTTTTTGGTGGTTTTCTTCAATTTTAAATTTTTTGTTGTTGAACATATCTAAAATCCAATGTTCTGTTACCGTCACATAAGGACTGCCAATTCTTACGTGTTAGATTTTTCAGAAACTGATGCAACCTCAGCGGCATCCTGTTTGTCTCTTGAGCTGTTGTCGACTTCTGTTTTTTCCTGGGATAAGGACACAGAAGAAGCAGTGACGGAAGCAGCTTGATTCAAAGTGTCTTTGTCAGAAGTGGATTCTGTAGCTGGTTTTGTTTTGCTTTGTTTCCCACTTGTGGCAACAGTTTTGTCCTTTGCCGCTACTGCACTAACCTTTTCCTCCTTGTGTTCTGAGCTCTTTTTCCTTGCATTACTGCTTTCTCCACTCTTGTAACTCTTCTTATCGGTTTTGTTTGCCTTATGCTCCTCGTGTTTGCCTTTAGAATGATGCTCATGCTTAGTGCCCTTGTGATCCTCCTTGCCTTTATAATGTCTGGTTCCTCTCTGTTCCTCCTTGTTCTGAGGATGGTCATGTTTCGTTTCTTTCTGTTCATCCTTGCCAGCTGTTGCGCCAGGAGTCGGATGTTCACTTTTTCCTGTCTTTTTATCATCCTTGGCTGCAGCCTGGTTATCTTGGATGCTTTCTTTCTCTTCACCCTTCCTCTGAGTATGCTCTGGTTTAGTTTCTTTTTGTTCGTCCTTCTCATGAGGGTGACGGTCATGTTTGTCGCTGTGTGAGCTGTGTCTGGATCGTGGTTTGTTACTGTGCGGGTCGACAGGAAACTGATTCATTGGCTACGACAAAAATAAAGACAATCACAGTTGCTTTATCATTCTGAACTCTAATAATAAACCTCTTTAGCTTGTATGTTTTGTTTTCCCAATGTAGGTCATGTGATAATACTCCAGAGAACTTTTTCGTTCAAATTTCGTCTTATTCACGTCCAGTATGAATGCATAATTTATGTAAGACAAAGGAGCAAATTCCCATGAATTCCCGTGCAAACGGACGCAACATTGTTCAATAAGAGATGAAAGATTTTTATATTTTGTTCACTTACATCATTCCTGAAGTCATCAATCGTCTTGTACTTAGCAAGCCGCTTCTTGAGGTCTGGTTCAACTTCAAACCTTGTTTTCTCCTAAAACAAACAAGCAAACACACAAACAAACAAACCTAAATTTTAAGTTTTAAGACAAACAAACATATATTAACCCCATCATTTTCTTCCCATCGCCTCGTTTTTGGGATGAATGGGACGACATATACGTCACGATGATTACACTGAAACCAATTTTTAATACTTCATTGTTTCGAATGAAGTTCGTAAAAAAGGTTTCAGGGATCTTATTTCCAGTCTTGGAGTAACATTGAAAGCTCCACCAAACCTACAGGCGACTTTCAAAGTATTGTTAAGCATTGGTTAAGCTCAACAAGAACTACACCACAACAAGTATTTTAATGCAAGGTTTCAACGTAAACACGCACTTATGACAAACAAACGATAGAAATCACTTACTCTGTAATATTTGAGGAATGCCCAGAACTTCTCTAGACCATAAAGATTACCTGAGAAAGAAACAGCAATAAAATACAATAATAAATAATTTATTAGACCATAATAACATCTGGTCAAGTTGGTGGGTTCACAAGGAGTACAACAATCTTCTGTAAAAAGCTTAGGAATTCTTAATTGAGTAGAGTTTGTTATTTTATAGAATAGAAAGTTTTTTCTAACTTACGAGAAGTAACACGATTACTCAAAACTTAATGAAGGCTGTAGATTCGTGCAGCAATCAAATATCAAGAGTAGAAAGCCAATTTCTTGCAACTCAACAAAAACTGTTCCAGTTTGATGAGTCTCGCAGGAATGGAATACCTGGAATCGAGATTCAACCATGGAGAATTGGGTTCTCGTCTCAATTCTTAATTTTTGCTGCGAGGATTGAGAATCGAGTGTCAACTTACTTTCAAACGGTACTGTACATAGTCAAACTCCTGAAAATCTCGTAAAACTCTTTACAATGGTCAAAAGTGAACATACTCTTCTAGCCAATGAAATGAACCAGCTGGCATCAGCAAGGGGAAATCAAGGAGTCATTGATGGTTTGATTGCAAACAACTGTGACAACCACTTAAACACATAACACCCAACGTACCTAAGTCATGATCACGGATAGTCTCAGCCTGAAAGTCCTTGAATAGGTCAGCTTTAAACTTCTTTTCAAGACCATAACTGTAGAACCTGAAGAGACATTCTAGGCCATACCTGGGAAGAGAAAAGAATATTAGTTTTAGTATTAACATTATTACATGAATTTTCAAAGCATGTTTAGCTTTTAAGTCCAGAAATGAATAGGTCTAACCTGTAACCAGCCAGAGCATCTTCTACTGCTAATGTTTTAAACTCTTCATACATTTTCCTGGCAAGAAGAAAAAATAAACAACAACAAAGTCACTATTAGATCCTTCAAATACAAACTGAATAAACACCACGTAATCAGGGGGTGCTGGTAATTGAGACACTAAAGACTTCCACCATCAATTCACTTCTTAAGGGAATGGGACACCATGCAATCTCAAACCAAGGTAGAACACGACGTGACAATAAAATTCTGCTTAGTGGAAGAGAAAAAGGGTTTACCGAAACTTGATATAAAGCTAACAGATTGCTATCAAAAACACTAAGGGGTTAGATTACATGCAGCTAAATGTAATTTAGGCAAAGTTAACCTCGAAGTAATGCTGGTCGAAAGTTTTTCCAACTATGCTAGGGGTGGCCAAACGCCTTTAGCAGGGGCACCTTGCTTCCTTGTAGTTCTGCGCAGTGTCTTCACTAGATTCTTGTTGCTTGCTTGACATTTTGGTGCTGTTTTTTTTTTTTTCCCTACCCTCCCACTCTCTTTAGTTCAGGGCCAGGTAAGTACTGGTTCGTAAGTATTCCACTGAACAGTTCAGTGCGACAGTGCCTGGGGGGTGCCACTCGTAGGGTTGCCGTGGATACCTCCTTCCTTGTGCTAGAGCATTGCCTGGCTCCCCCAACTTTGTAGGCACCAGCACCCAAGCTCTCATCTATTGGTGATGAGTTTAACAGGGAAATATCATGCTCCACCTTTTCAAAGGTAAGGTGTTGAGCAGCAGTGAAATATGAAAATCTGCCAATATCACTTCAGCAGCCAACGTAACTGGTAGTTTTGTCATAGAGGGATGTAGAACAAGCAGCACAGCCACAAAAGTGAGCATCAAAGCCAAAAGAATGAGCAGTGCTGCCCCATTATTCTCACTGCTCACTTGCACCTTTCCACAACAAAACCACCAGCTACACAGGCTGTCACTTGAGTTGATGTGCTACATGCTTGTACCTTTGCTGCAACAGAGATTCAAAAACTAACACTTCAGCACCAGCTCCTCATAACATTATAAAATAATATAACTTCAAATTTCAAGTTCTTTTAAGACAGTTTGAATCTTTCCTGAAAAAGTCTTTCTGCAACAAAATGAACCTACCTATTAAAGTGGGACCGGAGAAAGAATGACCAGAATCTAAACATTGTGTTCATCTCCTGTGATTGGCCAATTCCTACCTTCTTTCTCTCTGTAGGAAACAAAATAAAACATTATATACAGCACAGAAATTAAAGTTTCTAAACCAAAACAATAAAAATGAAAAAGAACCAACAAAATTAATATGGTTTTAACCATACAAGTATTCAGGTTTCTAGCCCTTAACATTGAAAAAAGGGATTTCTTTGTTTTGGTGAATCCCCTTTCACAAAACAAGCCATTATCATTTTTTTCTTAAAACAACTCGTTACTCATATATACATATAGCACTATTAAAATGCTATTTACTTAAACGCCATTTACATGTGCTAAGAAATCGGCATGGCATGCCAAATTTTTGGCACCGTGCTGATGATTTTACAGCACGGCACTCCCAATATCGGTCCCAAATGTAATGTGGCACCAGTGCTAAAAATTTTAGGGGTGCTGAGACTACCTCCGGGAGGTAGTCTTGGCATGGGTAAACGAGGCACGGTGCCAAAAATTTGGTGTGCCATGCTGATTTTTAGCACTTGTAAATTGGTTTTAGAGATACCTTTTAGACACTTGGAGTGATATTTATGGTACAGTTGCTGAGTAAAACCGTTTTCCTGAAGAAGTTCATGAGAGGGATGCTGGAAGCGTGGGATTGGTTGAGGCGTTGAACCATAACTACCAACATGCACCCCTGGCGGTACACCCTCAGAGATACTATAACTTGGACTACAAGAAAAAGCTTAGCACGTTAATAAAACAAATTAATGTTGGCAGATGCAAGGAATCGATGTAATAATAGAAAACCAGAGAACAATAACAAGTGTAAATACATGATAAGGAAGAAGTTGTAACACTGTCTTCAAATTAATACACCATATTCAGTAGAGAAAACTGGTTATAAAAGATGCCAAAAATCAAAGATGAAAACCACTGTGCAAAAGTTAATGTTGGGAGCTTCTTGGTCACACACAGTCTTTTGCTTTGAGTTCACAAAATGTGCATGTGACTGAACATAATCACTGCAATGCACTTTATTGACTACAAAAAAAACCTTAAGAGGTTTTGACTTCATTTGAAACGTCACATCTAAGGTCTCATTTGTGAACCCAAGCATTAGAACAACACTACGAATAAAATTTTATTGGCATGGGAAATAAGTCAAGGCTAAGGACGCAAACCAAAAGTCAGAAAAGGCCAGCCAGACTGGTCATTTTGAGAAAAAATAATTTCAGTCTTTTCTCGAAATGTTCCCTTAAAGGCACCACTGCCTAGCATAAATAGCATTGATTAATAATGGACGTCTCTTAACAACTGGGCTGGTCTGGCTGGTGAGTTCTAACAAAAATGGACATCGCCCTAAGGGTACAAAGTTTGACTGCCATTCACACAAAAAGGACATTAGGATTAAAAATTTTACTGCTACAAAGAAATTAAAAAAAAAAACAAGGATTAAAGCTATTTTACGGCTTTATTTTACGGCATCATGTACCTTCTGGGTGGAGGGTACTCTCTGTTACCCATAATCCAACCAACATGATGTTCGACTGGGGGGTTCTGACTGTACTTTGTCTTTCTTTTCTTCGGACCTTGATCACTGACATTCTCTTTACTGAATGCAGGGAAGAACCTTGGTGCAACTTTGACATCTTTTCGCTTCGGAGTGCGTGAGCCAAAGCGAGGTGTCACATGCTCAAGAGTGGTAGGAAGTTCAGGGACTGTGGCGGGGAGAGATCTAGACAACTGTTCCGATGGTGCTGTGTGAGCTCGCGGACGGAATACTTCTGCTGATGGTGATAACGTGGTGTGGGGAACTGTGATGGGAGGACTGGGGGGAGGGAATTCAGCTTCTGTGAAAGAACGAGCCCTAGGTGGGTCAAGGGCATCACGCTGGTAATTAAATTTGTCCTGACTGACGAGCTCAACACGTTTCCATGATGATGAAAGAACAATCTGCAAATAAGAAAGAACACAATCGAATTCAATATCTTTAAAACAGCGCAAAGTCAATACCTAATCAAAGATGTACTGTTTTTACTTACCTTTCTGTTGAGATAACTGTCATCACTATCATCCCAAAGATCCTAAAAAAAAATAAAAAATAAAACCTTGCACATTCCAGAGCTACAAAACATAAGATCACAAAAATTATGCCTACAGCTGTATAACAATTTGACCAGTTCGATAAAAGAGAGTAGGAAATGGAAACATTAGAATTTGCATGAAGAAAGCACATCACACAATAAAAGTTAACTGTTATTACACTGAGTTAAAGCGACCACTTTCACCCTGGTACCCTCAACAGGCAAGTCACAACTGACACCTACTAAAATTTCTGTTGCATCTCTTGTGGGATCAAACATAACCACTCAACAGAGTTCTAAAGTGATGACGTCATAAAAATGAAATTTCTGAAATCATGGGATTTGTCAGGATATTCTGAAAGAACAATGTCCAAGAGCCCTACTTACCAAAAATGAGGATTTCCAGGCAAATTGTCCCTGAGATGTTAGCTGGTTATACTCTGAAAACTCCATACAAACCCTTCTAATTTTTTTTTGTGTCAACACAAAAAAATTGAGTTTTCTAAGCATAACTGGGCTACAATCTTAGAGACAATTTGCCCCCAAATGCTCATTTTTGGCAAGTAGGCCTCTTGGACATTGTTCTTTCAGAATATCCTGACAAATCCCAAATTTCAGAAATTTGATTTTTAGGACATCACACTTTAATACTGTATTAACCATTTAGAAAAAACAGCTTTTTTCATACCTGTTCATAGTAGTAAAGACCATCATTTATTGCTTTGGAAAGTTCCTGGGTCATTTTAACTCTGGTGACATAGTTTCCTGTCCGGTCATGTTTTTTGACGGGAGGTGGAGTCTGAGTGACAATCATGATTTTATGTATATCCTGATCATCAATTTCATCATCTGAATCATCATCCCTACAATTTAGCACACATTTTAGCATATCTGGCTTGTATCCAGAATAGAAATGGAAAAAACTTGGTTTGAATCTTTTTCATGGGCATTTGGAAGCCTGACTGCAATACTGCATGCACCTTAATGTTGCATGTAGACATCACAGGAACAAAACCAAAGTTAAATTTGAAGTGTGGCAGTCCTTGACTATGTTCATACAGACAGTCTGTTAAAAAAAAAATTCTTACAGCACTATCCATTATTGGACAGTCACAGTACATCCATGTGCACATACCCAAAAATATGTGTACAGTTTGTGTGTGCACTGGAAGCATTCAGTGTATCTTTGACCTGTAATGTTCCAAGATAGGTTTAAAACATAAGCCAAAACATGTTACAAAACTTACCAATCTGAGGAACATATTGTTGGTTGTTTTCCTTGGTTTTCTAGTTCCTCATCAAACTTGAAATCAAGTTCTTCCTGATCATTTGAGAAGCCACTTGTCTAATAAAATATAAACATTGAGTTGAGAATCAATCACTAATTGACCACTTCCTCCCTCAGGAACCAAGATACAAGACCGGATTCATAGAGTTTTGCAGGCCAAAAATTCAAGGGCTATTCAAAGACTTTTCTGAACCCTTCATAGAAATGAACCACTTGTTTATAATGAATATAATTTTATTACCAAGTTGTTTGCATTATTTTGTACTCTGCTTTAAAACATGGTATATTTTAAAGTTTTGATAGTGTACATGTGCTTTGCTTAAAAAAGGTTTTTCATTGACCAAAACCAATTTAAAGTACTAAGTGCTTTACTTTTCAAGTACTTCAAGTATATTTGACTCCTTAAATTCAAGAGTTTTTCAAGATGATGTTAAACCCTGACAAAAACAGTTTCATCCCATAAGCTTGAATTAAAAAGCTTTCGTCCAAGTTGATGCAGTTGCATTGTCTTTTTATTCGTTTTACACTCTACATTACAACTATTACAGACGTATTACAATATGTTATTCTCATTTTATCATAAACGAATGTAATTTTGATTCAAGATGGTTTCTGCACGAAGGCTTACTTACATCCCAAAACGTTGCTATCCAGCGTGCAAAGAAAGTAGTGTCCGATAGCCTGGGGCTAGTGGATTTTGCTATCAGGCTAGTGAATTCTGTTCTTAACTTGCCCAATGGGCAAGTGAATTTTTTTGAGGAATTCAAATTACTGTGAAATCAATCTGGTCATCAAAACGTTTTTTGGGCTAGTTGAAATGATATTTGGACTAGTAAATGTTAGCTACAACTTGCCCGAATGGCAGGCTGTAAAATTGACTTTCTTTGCACCCTGCATCCCATCAAAAAGCTCGTCATGTTACAAAATTAATGTTTGGCATAACTTTTGTGTGATGGAATTGAGTTGATGAGAACGCACACCAATTCAGGCCACTTAATTTTTTTACATCACTGTCGGTTCCACAACAACTTTTACCTTGACTTGATTCTGCAGCAAGGGAGAGGCATTCCTCCTTGCTCAAGATAATGTACTTATTTTCTCACGCTTACCTTATTACTGGCATCTGTTTTTGTAGATGATGGTTTTCTTCTTTTTACTTCTGTCCACGAGTCAACATCTGGCTTTTTTGCTCCTGCAAATTTTTCAAATTTCAATTTTCTGGAGTAAGAAACTGGCCTGGCAGCATGGCAGGTAGGGCTCACCCTGCACAGAGCAGAGCCTCCTCCTTTTCCCTTCTAGAGTGAGGAGGAGAAAAAGAGGCTCTGTCTGAATCATGTCATGGATTTTTTTAAATTTTATTTTGGTAACTTTTGGAGTAAACTGGTTAATTATCAAAAGCGATCTCTGGATGATGAATAAGTAATGTACGAGAACTTTCAGAACTGCAAGGGAAAAAAATTTACGTTTTTAAGTAGAACGACATTTCTAATACCAACATAACACCCACCTAACCTGGTCAGCTAGGGTCATATGAAGTGTACTAGAATAATAATCAGGTAATTCCAGATCAAGTGTGAAACACTTGAAGTCTGGTCGGATATGTTCCGGAGCAATTATTCATACCTTTTGCTTCTTCAGCCTTATTACTGAAAGTGTTATTTAACACCGATTCCTTTTGTGCCTGTTTTATCAATTCACCAGGATTCACCAAATCATTGATTATGTTTGCTGGCTTTGGGAGTTCAGCATTAGATGACACTTCTGTTTCTGATGAAAAAGATAATATGATCAATCAATAAGGAGTATAGAGTTGTAAAATAATGTATCTAATTACCCTTTGATATAAATATTTATTATATAAACGCCAATGAAATACCAGGTGAGATTTCGCACAAACACATGATATCTTCACATGTGAAAATAAGATGTTATCTTCACATGTGAAAATATCACCGTTGCTATGGCTTCATAATAAATCGTGCCTTTCACACCAAAAAACTATCAAAGTGAAATGGCTTTGTATTTCATCAGGGTTTATATAATAAATAGAACATTACATGGCTGCTTGGAGATACGAAATTTCTCTTCTTGTGTTGAAAAAATATTTTCAACACTCGAAGAGAAATTTCTTATCTCTTCGTGGCCATGTAATATCCCCTATGTATGTGACACTCAAATAAAGTGTGCATATTGTAGGGTAAAATTAGGTTTAGGTTTAACCAGTATTCAACCTGGTTTGATTCAAAATATCCTTTGTTTCCTAGCCCTAATCAATATTAGCATACAAAGGAAATTCTGGTTTAACCTGAAAACAGATTTTACCTACAACATACACCTATATTTAGACCAAACTACATCTAGTGCATCTTTTCCAAACTGAGCTTTTTAAGTACAGCATTACAGATGCCCACACAGTCTTTATTAATTAAAAACAGTCTTCTTAACTGGAACTGCTTCTCACAAAGGCCTATTGACATTAATATTTATTATTCAATAATAATATTAATTATTTCCCAAACAGTAAGACTGGGCATCCGCCAGAGATGTAAGTGATGCATAAGTCAAAAGTCCTTGTTCATACCTTGTACTTGATGCTGTTTCACGTGAGGGGTGGTCTCAGAGATGTGAGCAGCAGTATTCTCAACTGCAAAGAAAACAAAAAAAAAAATCTTACATCTAAACGACAAAAAATGGAAGGAAAGAAATATTTTGCTACTTGACTCAGTCTTAAAACATCATGCTCCTCCAGATGTCACAATATGTATGGTTCAAAATTTCAATTTAAAAAGTACAAAGTAAAGAATTTATCATTGACCCTCGCTTCTTACCAGTGAATGGCTGGTCAGCTGGAATAACCCACAATACAGGGTTCTCCTTTTTCCTCATTGCATTGTGTGTAGGATCAAGCTCCACTATCTCACTGCCTTGTAATGCCTATAACAAATTACAGTTAACATTATTCCCTATCAGTAAAAAAAAAAATCAAAATACAGTAAAAACCTGCACGTAAGAACCCAAGGGTTTAAAAACCTGCTTGCAGAAATTTTCTCTTTAATACCCAAAAATAATTATAAGAACCTGTTTAGCCAAGCAAATTCAAGCAGGTTCTAATCTTATATGTGGGTTCCAGTAAAATTTTTTAGAAGACTTCAAAAAATGTAAGTTCTTACATGCAGGTTTTAATTGTATCACAGCTGTTAGTGTGACAAAACTACACTGAAGAGGGCTTGAAACATTTTCATGACATTTAACAAGAGAAGACAAATATGACAGGGGCATGCTTAACGTATTGGCAGAGTGGGGCATACTTGTACCTCTAATATAAGATTGTAATCCTGTGTAAGGGCCTGAACTCTGTAGAAGCTTGCAATGAGTGCAATAGGAATGTAACCTTCACTATCCATCTAGTAGAACAAAAACAATGCAACATCCAGTTAACACAGTAAATACAGAGTTGTTGTTTCACTCAAATCAACCTATTGAGTTTTAGACGATCCCCATAGTTTCGCCATATTTTCATAAGAACCCTAGCAGCTAAAGGAAATCTTAGTGACAGCCCTGTAATAAACTAGACAAAAAGGTCACTTTAATGTTACTGTACACTACATGTATTTTAAACTTTACAACACATTATAATTTATACTATTACCGTTATTTACCTGTCGTCTCAGAAAGATGTCTTTTTGAAGATTCTGCTCACTAAAATAGTATTCTCTGAAGTCAAAAAGAATGAAGATGGTTTGTAAACCTTTGGCTGAAATATATTGGTTACTAGATAGTCAATTTATAAGCACAGAGTCTTTAAAATACTAAGTATTTGAACAGATGTGCTCTGCTCCCTAACCAAAAAAAGCAAACATAGTCAAATCTTTTTTTACAAGTCCACCATTCAACTAGTGGTTACTTGGTGGATAGGCCATTAATAGGAGGAAAAGGAAAAATTTTGAGTTTTACGATGATAAATTTGTGCTACAAGTTCAGTAATTCAGAAGTTCAGTTCAGCTCTTGAGCGCTTGCTTGTGTTTATAAAAACTGCACTCTTTGATTAACGAAAAACTGTTATTATTGCAAACACATCAAACATCTTACATTTGATTTTTGACATATTCTTTAAGAGTTACTTCATCCAGGGGTACAGCCATATAGTTCCCTGAGTTGTAGTAAAAACTACTGTTATAAGGTTGAGTGTTGCCATATTGCTGGGGTGGTGCAAAGTAGGTTGTTCCGTTGTACATCTGGTATCCAAACTGCTGCTGCTGATAGGAGTTGTATGGTATGTGATGGCCATCTCCTAAAACAACAAAAAATGTTCACTTCTGCTTTAAACTGTTGCTCTTTGACATTTGAAGACAATTTAGGTTGGATGCTACGCAGTATTATTGTTACAATTATTGTAACAACATAGTATCACAATGGTCAAGATACCTGTTTTCTTTATTGTGTGAATCTTAGAAGTACATTGCGCACATTGTGTCGTCATAATTACATAATTTATGATACTCTCCCGGGCTGATTACATAAGAAATAATATGGAATGATTAGCAAAGGATAAAAGTTTAAGAATAGTATCGTAATGAATCTGATATCGTTCATGTCAAGTATTCATTTGTGATTGTTCACGGATTCTATGAATTGCCTTCTGAGCGGCAAGTCGTACTGGGAAACGTCGTTTATCGGCTACAAGCACAAACTAACTACCAGTTTTGCAGGAACTGAATGACTGACTGAATGACAGAATGACTTGTTTATTAACACCTTTTGCAGCTTATAGCTGAATTGCAGGTACAGGTCAGTTACATTAACATTACATTTTTAGGACACTAAAGCGGTAGCATATTTTACGGTTAGAAAATTAGCCAAATGATCAGCATTAGATACAAGGCTGCTGCCTAACGAGTGCCCAGTTGCCAGAGGTGCCTACAATTTACCCTCAGGCGACCAAAACTTCAAACAGGGAGCCCAAACAGGCACCTAAAACTTATGATTCTGAGGCTAACTTCCAGTGAACAAGCAACAAAATTTCCTGCTCATTCCGCACTTTAAAAGCAAAAACGTTAAACGTTTGGTTGTCAGCTGTAGGCAAAAAAAATCATTCCGCAGATAAAAGGTAAACAAACAAGCACTTGTCTTGAAATTCGCTTCCGTTACTTCCACTGCAGTGCAGTTGAAGTCTCTTCTCTGAAAACGGTGTCAAATGAATTTAATAGTCTTCGAAAAACCTTTGCTATTAAGATCATGACTTTTCCTTCAGTGTTAAAAATGTTAGGTCGCTATTGCATGAAGTAAAAACTGAAAAAAAAGTTCCAATCAGTGCAAAAGTAAGAGGTTTAAAATTACACATAACAAATGTTATTTACTTTTGAAAGTTTATGGCATTTTCTATCTAGCTACGAACATGAACGGTAGGCTCTGAGGTGTCTTTTATCATATATTCAGCGCCATCTTCACCTCCCTATTTGTGCTGTACGTTTTGTGGTAACTTTTGCAAGGCTCGCAAAAACATTCCAGTTTTTGAAATGATTCCCCGCAGCTATTCAATATCATATTTCAATCTCTTTCTAATATTTACGCTGTCACGTGCGACACGAGCAAATATACTACATACCCTGTACCTATTGCTGCATACATATTTTGGTGAGTACTTACATAATTTTGAGAAAATTTATTTTTGTGCTTTACTTAAATTACATTTTAGTCCAAATCTGAGTCTGTTAATGAGAACATCACAATTTCTCCAAACTGCTGCCACAACTTTTTCATCTAGCCATATTATTAACCACTTTCTGCACAAAATTTTTGAGTAGGTATTTAATTTCAAGATTAAGGTGATAACTCAAAAAACAATTGCAATTACCGGTAACCAATCAAGTTTATTTAAACACAAAACACCTAAGAGCAGGTATGGTCTTGTAAGCTAACAATAAAGTAGTTCACCTCTTGGCATTCGACGTCCCCTTCCACCACGGCCACCTCGTCCTCCACGTCCACCCCTACCCCCTCTACTAGGGGATATATTTCCTGACATGCCCCCTGGGCTCTGCCGGTTAATGGGTGACCTTGTCCCCTTGGTACTAGGTGAAGCAGCTTCTGGAGATGTTGGAGATTTATCTGGGTTGACATCATTGTTTGAATTTTCTCCACCACCTTCTGTTCCCTCAAGATTCAATGGAACCCACTTTGGACGACCACCTGCATCATTGTAAAGATAAAACACTTTTAAAAAAACTTCCTTCACGACTAAAAAGTGAAAAGAAAACAATGGACATTTTTTTAATTCCTTATTACGGCATCTAGGGGGGAAGATTCTTTTGTTCATTTTCGTCAGTATGTGGTTATAAATAAGGCTTTGGTAAATTAGTAACGATCAGGAGGAGTATTTTAAAACAGTAAAATTCAAGTACTGAAGACAGTCACCATTGGATAACTGTGTATCAAGAGATCCTGATGCATTAAATTTGCCTCTTGTTTAAGTAACTGCTTGTACTGTTTTAAATTCAAAGATAAAAATCGACACTGCTTTAACAGTGTATATTTTGTGTATAATATACAACTATCACTTACAGGGTTGGTTCATAGCACTAGAAATGTACTTTGATGCTTTGCGTCTCAGTATACAGCTATTTCAAGAAAGGTTGTCGGAAAAAATGTGCACGCGACAATCCCAAAAGGTAATATGGGATATGATCAATACACTGTTCCTGACACTGTAGCTGTCGAACCTACTTTTGTTGCCTACCTTTAGCACTCGCAGACATATATATGTCCACGGCCTCTCCTACCATTCTTTCAAATTTCTTTGAAAAACAGTGAACTCAAAACAACCCACAATACCTTTCGGGGTTGCCGCATGCACTTTGTCGGACAACCTTTCTCGAAATAGCTGTATATCCACCACTATTTGCCTCCCCTTTGGGGGATAGTTGTATATTATACACAAAATATACACTGGAGAAATCATCATAATTTGCACTCATTTTTTTAGAGAATGTGACCTCCAGGAAATTCTGCATAAATTACCAATACTTTTGCAGCTTATCAGAAAGCAAGTACAAACACAAAAAAAAGCAGGACACTAGAAAAGAACTATTATATTAAGCCTTACAGAAACTAAATGAACCAAGTCACAATATTCTAAGCAATCATGTCAAGGGATAATTCAAGATAATGGGAATTACTAATACAACCTTCATGGTAACCAGGAAACCAACATGAAGAACAAATATTTCCCCAATTCCATTATCATTGTAAGTGTCAGCTCAAAACTAAAATCCACCTTGGAAATGCCACTCAAAACAAAGCAAAGACACAATGCCAGTTTAAAAGTACACTATTACTCTTTACATGAAAAGAGCCACTACTACTAATACAAAGTTAACAAGGTCGAATTCAGTCCTTGCCTAGTATGTTTTTTTTTTTCACTACTGAAGAAATACAAAATTGGTCAGCAAAAATACGTGTCAATAGTGATGATTACCAATTCGCTTGCAGTTGATAACAGTAAAAGCATCTACATGCACCCTTTTCACTCTCTTACAACAATGGTTTGATGTTTTAAGTTTTGTTTTATGTGTTTTTGCTTTTGTTTCTTTTTCTTTAGAATTTAATAATTTATTATTCATTTAAAGTACAAAGAAGTAATTCACACAAAAGTTCATTTCATACTGTGCATCACTTTTGCCTGAATTAACCTATTATAGCAGGTGGTTAAAAGCAGGAACTTTGAGACTTTTTGAGGCAAGATTTTAAAAAATGTAAAGATAGAGGGATTTTATAAAATATAAATTTGAGTAATTGAGTAGTTTTTATTGACACCGTGACGTAACTACATGTACAAATAAATATGTTTTTATTTCTTTTTTTTATTTACTTATTTTAGGGAACCTTATAGGGTGACCTCCTGTTTCGGTTTTGAGATTTTGGTTTAGTTTTCTTTTTATTCCAATGTCTTGAATAAACTTAGTATGTTATGTCACCTTATATTAAATAGAGAGTTCCCTTACGTACACAGCCTCTTAATCAATGGTTTGCAGCAGTGACCATTTTGGTTAACAAGAACAAAAGCATTTTTCTCAATTGAGAAATAGACTATTTTTTGTGATAATTCTGCAAAAAAGTCAAAAACATATAATGTCTTGTGGTTGCAAACCAAGCATAGCAAAGTGATATTAATGACTGGATCTAAATACCAAGTAAACTCTTCTAAAAGCAAAGCCAGAATAGTGACTTCACCGGCCAAAAACTTAACTCACGGTTTTGACCATTATGCCACTTTTTTAACAGTCTAGCAGCGGCTAGAACAAACAAATAGTGGTTTTGAGTTTACAGACTGTCATTGGTTAACTTTTTTAACATTTTGACCTGTCGGAAACAAGCACCATAAAATTCCGAAAACAAGCCCCTCCATGTATAAGCCCCTCCAAATATAAGCCGCCCAAACTTGTAACGCAAAAAAACCCTCCGTTAAATCGCCCCTCCAAATATAAGCCCCCCGGGGACTTGTACTTGGAAATTGCCCTCAAATACAAAGTAAAACAAAGCAAAAATGGTACATTTCCTTCCAACTATAAGGCTAGCCCAATCGATTTTGAAACGCAAATTTCCCTCCGTAGATAAGCCCCTCCGAAAATAAGCCCCTCAAAAAAGGCCTTTGAAAAATATATGCCCCGGGACTTATTTTCGGAATTTTATGGTATTTCTTTGGCCAGTCATTGTTTCTGGTCACCGTTCTAAAATTAACTTAAGACAAAAACTCTGATACAAGAAAAATTGACTGAGGCCCAGAGCTCTGAACCTATGAGACCGAGGTGTCCAGTATATGGTTTCTATAAAAAAAAACAAAGATTTTCTAGTCGCCTTGAAGCAGAAGTTAGGTGAACTAGGGCAGTGTATAGAGTGCTAGTTCTCATACTTGAGGTTTTTCCAAGTTTAACTATGTTACAGTGACAGTCACCAAAAGAAATAAGAAGTCTTACAATTCTAAATTTAGTTATTGGGAAAGATCACAGATACTTGTTCCACATAACTCTGTGCAACAAGTCTGTATTTTCATCACCAGTAATTAGCACAGAATCGAGAAAATTTTTCTAAAGGCAGTTACACATTTAAGAAAGTTCCTTGTATCGACTGTGTTCCACATTTTTATGATGTGGTGACTCATACTGACTGAGGGAATAGTAAATCAATTTGTTTTGTCTTCATCAATACACAACATTAATTTTATATTGCTTTGCATTCATAATTTGAACCGTTAATGCATTGAGCAAATAAAATACTTCTTCCTTTGGGCAAAATGTAATGGGATTTAGGAGAACAAGACCCATATCCATATTCTCTTGCCAAAAAAAGTGTAATGCAAAGTCAGCTATTTTGCACGTGTACAACTACTTCCTGTGATTCATTAAATAATTTATTCTCGTTTACAAATATATATTATATATATTTCAAAAAGAAGACCATTTTTCTTCTTATAAAATGGAACTAAAAACATTTGAATCTGGTAGATGAAACAAATGTACAAATGGCGATGTGTCCAAAAGATACATCATTTTACATTATTATTACGAGCGATGTTCAATGGGTACAAAAGAACTTAATCGTCCAAAAAACCGTACCGACTCTGTACCCAATTCCAATTAAACCATGCAAAATTTCCAGAGACACAAACCATTTATACGGCAGAATGAAAGGCATATATTATGGCAACATAATCGACAGGTTGTTGTTTTAACGAAGATTGCCGGATAACATCGTGTTTATACAAGAACATTTCACAAGAAACAAATTTACGCACCTTTCTTTCTTGGCGTAGTTTTTGAGTTTTCGTCTTCTGAAAGTTCGTTTTCGGCATTTTCCTTTTTGCTAGCAGTGGGCTACAAAAACAAACAACAAAATCTTATTAGAAAAGAAGTTAACAAAGGTGTTGCGTATACATACAACCATACAAGAACAAACGATACGAAATGCACAATCACCATGCGCTAAAACAATTTAGAGCAGGAAATTACTTTTCTGTACCTTTGCATCTTTATTAGTTGCTGTGGATTCACCAGGAGTTGGCCAGTTGGTTATATCAGTGAATTCACTGCCCTAAATAAAATACGTACACCACATGAGATGCCGACCCGTTGAAATTCCAACTACAACACAATACTCCCTACCCCATGCCCGTCAGTAGATACCTTTCCCTTGCGTTTAGCGGCTTTCACAACAGTTGGTTTTTCCGCCTCCTCTGAAAGAAAAACAGACAGTTTGGTTCAAAAACAGCTGTTTAGTCCGGTTATAAATATAACTTCCGCTAAAGGCCAGTACCTTTCTCGCCCTTGCTCTTTAAGTGTCTTGTCCAAGGATTTTTCGGCGGGGGAGGTGCTGCGGCCGAGTCATGGTGATTCTTCTCGTTCTCCGACGTGTTTTCGCTCACATTTTCGTCTTCGTCTTTTTCCGCAGTGCAGTTATCGACGTCTACGTGGTCTATGGCATTTTTACAACTGCTGGTGATGTGACTTTCATCCTCACCGATATCGAGTTTCGCCTTAGGAACGCTTTCGACTTCAGTCATAATACGAAAGAAGTGAACGTGTTAGTTTAGTCCGCGTATTCAAACTGTTCCCCAAGGCAACCTTCAGCCGACGAACAAACCTGAACCCCACACACGAAGAGTAGATAGTCTCAGATTGCGTCCGCGAAGGTTTCCTTTCCTCTTCTAAAAACAGACAGTCGAAAATTCCCGGCCAATTTCCACCTTTTCTTTACCATTCAGCCATGTGGCTTGAGAGAGAGAGCGACTCTGAACTCCGCGGTTCCTATTGGCCATGCGCGAAGCAAGTGATCAGGACAGCTTATTAGCCAATCATAGAAGAGTAAAGAACAAAGACTTAAACTCGGGAAAGCTGGACAAACAGAAAAGAACTACCCGTCAAAACCAAACTTGAGACAAAAAATTAAATGGTGAAACCATCCCTACCTGCTGTATCGCTATCAAGAGGTCTTTTAGCTCAAGAGTTTTACGTTTTTCACTTGTGACTAGTTTGTTATTTATTATCTTTTTTGCCAGTCATGAAATCTCAATAGACAAAGTTAAGATAAACTAAGTTCTACCAACCTACCTCACAAACATGGCCGAGATATATAAAGGTAATTTATAAATATTCATACTGGTTTGATTACTATTGAAAGCAGCTGTTTTTTTTCGGTTCGTGTTATATTGTTTCCATCGGGTGTCCCTGAGATACATAACTTCAATCAGGAAATCGAAGTCAGGCTATCACAGGTTGGCAGAATCATATGCTTCTGCTGGCGGGTTAACATTGAAAGAAACTTCAAGGTAAAAAACCGCCAAGCAACAACTATATGTGATCATTCAAGCATTAAAGAAGTGAACTGCACTTTGATTGCTTCTCTATTGAAAAATAATGAGACCGTCTGACCTCTTGCAAGCATCTATAAACGTTGTTTTTTTTAGTGATATGAACTGTGAGTCAATATTTGGTGATTGAATGATTAATAGGTGAAACAACACGCGTGCCCCAGGAACTTAGTTTAAGGAGGCGTTATACTTTGTAGTTCAACTGAAACTTTTGCACATCAAGCACCGACAAAAGTATGCCCTACTAACCTGCAGTAACAAAGGTCACGAGGAACTGACAAAAAACACAACACAACTATCGAGAGAGCGAAAGGTGTTTACAAATAAATAAGTACTTTAAGATTATTGACCTGCTGAAAAGCGTCTTTAGAAAGTCAAGTATATCTAGCTTAAAATAAAGTTGTAAGTAAAAGACTTAATTTTTTATTTTTTGACACGACTGAGACAGAGATTAACAAGCAACCTACAAAAAGAGAACACCGTTAAAAGGGAATGATGTGTGGTAGATAAATTCCTACTGTGGCAAAAGTCTAGCCTTCACACTACTGCAGACTGGAGTTGCTCTGTTTAACTCGAGTTTGTTTGATCACCTCTGATCACGACTGACTGGAAGTATACCCATACAGGATGGGTTCATGACCAATAAAAAAAAACAACAAAACGAAACAAAGTAGTAAAATAGTCAACAGAGTCATCGTAGGCAAAATAACGCCCGCAACTAGGCCGTGGGATAAAAAAAACACAACAGTTGCAACCAGTGATGCTGACTTCTATCTCGGATTCAAATTAATTTCTGTAATCTGCGTACAACCATTTGCAAATTTAATTTTTCTAAACATTTTGTAAATTTCTCTAAGGCTACATTCCTAGTTACGCGATCTTTAGCTTAATAACGCGCCATGACTGAATTCATTTCCAATTTGGTGAAACATTAAAGGAACTTATGACACTGATGATCACCTGCCGCGCGGCTTTCTCAGACCAAAAACAGACAACAATACGGTGTCTAAATATCATGAAACAAACGTCAATTTTGAACTCAAAAAGAGAAATTTCAATGCAGTATGTAGGCGATTTATCTACAATTGATCTATTTGTGATATTTATTTTCACTTTAATAATAATGAAAAATAAACATCGGCCGACGAATTATTCGAAAACTGGCCAATTGCATTTCGACAAGTTTTACAAAAATTTGAATATAATTATTCCGCGTTTCGCAATAATTTGTTTTAGCTACGTGCCTAATGTCCAATAGAACATCTTCGCCATCGAAAAAAATCTAATTTCCTATAATGCTAATGAAATACATATACGTTGGCCTAGAATGAAAGATACTCATCAAATTTTGTGGAAACACTACAAGCAGTTCAAGATAAAAATTGAGGGTTTTTCATATACGTACGTCTTAAAATGTCACTCCTAGTCAACTGATCTAACTTCTCACTGTGGTACTCGTTCTCCTAGTTACCAATGTTTAGCCTTGCCGTTTTTTGCAAAAGGTAAAACATGATTCAACGAATGTGACATGTATTGTACATGTAGGCTGTAACTCTACCAAAATTTCTACATACTTAAATACAAGAATGAAAACGGACCAAACACGGCCGGGCACGTGGAACAGTTGGTCCGCTTTCTGCTGTTAAGGCAACCCTTCGGGGAAACCTATCTATGAATAAATTCATAACCGGCAAAATTTTGCTTGTGAGTACATCTTTTAAAACGCTTATATCTCAGCTGTTTTAGAGGCCGGATTTAGATAAACCTTACAGAGACATTGTGAAATGATCGAAGTTTAGGAGGGTTGTTTTTTTGATTTGGTAGATCGCGCCTCACACAGCAATGCCTCAACCCACTGAGTTGTACCACAAATGTGAAATCGTGCATGATTTTGTGTCCAAGTTTGCGGAAAGAATACTAGAAGACAGCACTCTGTGATTTTATTAATCAATTATGGGTCAAAACCTCTAGTGTGTCACGTATCAAGCTGATTTTTAATTTAAAGTTTACCAGCAAGATATAATTGTTTAAATATATGAGCAAAATCTGTCATCCCAACCTCGTTCCCAGGTTCTCTCTCCTACCCTCTTTCGCTCCGTAGGGAAATTAACGCCTTATATCTTTTTGTATCACGGCTTTTTTAGAATTCCGCTCACAGTACATAACACACTACAGGCTACCAAGTTTACCCCTGTGTAGTGCCAGCTCGTGAAGGTTTGTATCTGCGCTGAATTTCTGGCCAGAGGGGGGGGGGAATCTCCCTTATATAAGCTACATCGGGTGGGGTTTTTGCTCCTTTTTGGTCTGCTCGGGTAAATTAAGGCATGGTCCTCAATTTGCCTTAATTTGCTCTGTTCAAAAGCGAGGGGGTGGTCTATATCTAAGAGCTTCAGATGAAGAGACAAAACTTTGCCAGCTACCCACATTCAGCACATTTTTAGTTTGTGTCAATTTGGTGCTTTAAAATTATGCAAATTAGGTCACGTGACCTCCATCGGCTAAAAAACCTTGTTCTTGAACCGGCAACACTTTTTCGTGTGTCCCCAATTATTTTACCGGTTGCATAATGTTAAGACCTTTTAATATATCACTTCTGTGCTTGGCCTTAATAGATATTTAAACTCGAAGGCATTAAGATGGGATACAATTGCTTTGGGGGACTGGGTCTAGTTGAAAAAGCCGTTTATTTTCTAAAACAGTAAAAAATTCAAAAAAGGCCAAGCACTTTTTTGTAGATGCTTGCATTACACATTGTCCTAAACCAGTCCAGTTTAATAACTCACAACAAAAAGTGTTGCCATTTTTGTTTAAAGACTTTTTATTGTTATCTGGCCGTGTGGAGTCACGTGACAACATTTGCATGATTGAAAAATCACCTAATTGACAGAAACCACACATGTATGTATCTGGCAAAGTCTCATCCTTTTACTGCTTAAGTGCTCAGAGATAGACCACCCCCCATCACTTTTTGACTGAATCATTGGGGACCCATGCCTTAATTTACCTGAGTGAAAACGGGTATAGATTTTGCCCAGTTTGGTCTGGAATAGGGTATGATTTTTGATGGAACTACGGGAGTGTATGAACGTATTTATCGTTTCAATTCCAAATCTGAGTAGGAAAGAAAGAGAAATATTGAATTCGAAATGGCTTTGAAGAATTTTTTGTTTGCGCTCTAATCTAAGTAATGATAACATAATTTCTGCCCAAAGGCCAGGTCTAAAAACGGGTATGGATTTTAGAGGTCTGGTCTGAAAACGGGTGTGGAAAATTACATTTTTGGTCTGAAATAGGGTCAGAATTTGGAGAACCGGGCGGTACACCCCCACCAAGAATTTCCAGAAGTACCCCCCGGGATTCTTGAACATCAAATCGTCTTTGAGACTCACGAGCACGAGTTCCAAGCAAGATATGTAATTATGGTAATTATTGAATTACAGTCCACGCTTCAATTTTAGCGCCTGTTTACATGGAGGTAGGGGACCCCAGATGGGTGAGGTAACCCGCTTAGGCGGGGTAACCTACCTGACGATATAATCTCTCATGTTTACATAATAGGTGGTGACACGCCAAGGCGGGTAGCCCGGTCTGCCAGACCGAGCAACCCTCTTAGCCGGACACTAAATTTTGCTATGTAAACGTTTCAAGGTGGGGCAACCCGCCTAGCCGGGGTCAGATGCGTGATACGTCGAATTCGCGCAAAATTCACTTTGGCGTTGGCTTTGCATCATTAAAAGGTAACAATAGAAAGCCTGCGTAGCACTGAAGGTTGCAGCAAGAGCAGCAAGTGAGTGTATACAGAAGAGCATTAATCACCAAAACACGTGGTTTGCTAACGGTTTTCTTTTTTATGTGCTTAGCGACCATTCAATATGGCCCTTAAGGCCTGTTTACATGGAGGTGGGGAACCCCAGGTAGGTGAAGTAACTCGCCTAGGTGGGGTAAAAACATAACCGTCGTTTACATGCAATCTTAGAAACTCGCCTGTCCATATAATCTCTCATTTAAATTTGATCACGTTTACATGATAGGTGGGTTGACCCAACACATGTTAACTCACCCATTAGGGGTCCCAAACCTCCATGTAAACAGGCCCTAATTTAAAACCTCCAATGTATCTGACATGTAGATAAATATTAGCTATAGTTGTCCAATAAATGAGAGGCTCTCACTTGTTAACACGAAATTTGCGGCAAAAAAGTTGGCGCATTGAAGCCCTTATTTCAGTATAGTCGAACCTCCACTGACGGGTCACCTCGGCTCCACAACGGCCACTTTCTTCCGGGAAACAATCCATATATTGACTCTTGTTTAACCCTCTCTACAACGGCAACTTTCTCTGCAGTTCTGTCTCCAAGGTGGCCGTTGTGGAGAGGTTTGACTGCGTTTCTTAACAGACAATCAATGAGACCCTAAACTTAAGATAAATCAGGACACAAATACGACATAAGGCAAATATTTTAATGAGATATTACATATCTGAACTTCAGTTTTCATGCAATTATATTAAAGAAAACAGATCAGTTAGATCATCTAGTGTAGCTGACAACAGTAAAATAAAAACCCTTGCCTAGTCCCTGTACGGCGTCTTCGCAGACCTTCTCGGTCTATGCATTTCGGTGACGTACCTGAGACGAACGGCTGGGAGACTCGCTCGGACCACGTGACCCGAACCGCATCGGCCGCGCGCAATAATGAGGCCTGGGGACTAGGCAATGAAAAAGGCTCGATTACCAACCGCTGTTAGGGAAAAGAGCCCGCGTTCCTCTCCCGAACGGAGAGACCGAGAGGGCCGCGGAAATCGAGCCTAACTTGTGACACGATCTAAGAAGGCATTCATTTGGATAACAACTTAATCGCATGTCACTCATCATTGTTAGTGGAGATCACTTCTCCGTACAACTAAAAGTTTTTTGATATTTAAAAGTTTCGACAATTCTGGTTCATTTGATGGTCATTTTTCATGAAAAAGAAAAGTGAAAACGGATCATCCAAACTGTTGAAACTAAATATATATTATATATACTATTATATTACAAGTCTTTGTAGTAGGTATGGTGTATAACATTGAATGTACTGTACTCATCTAGTTATACGTTAATAGATTACTTGGCGCAATTACCGATACTTACGTTTATCAGTTTAAGCTAATTTTAGGGCCCTGCCCACAAAAAGGATAAATACAATATGTTTTTACAAGACTTGCAGTCTGAACTGTTCATGATGCTTCTTCATCCTTTCGCTGTAAGATGTAAGTTATCATTGGTTCTGGTTTGCCTTTCATTGTAACAGGACCTCTCTTTTTAAAGGCAAAGTTGTGGTGTGGTTCACATAACAGCGATCTGCAATGTCCAAACAAATATCACTGATTTTTAATAAAATGATCACTTCTGAAAGTTAGCACCATGGCAAAAGGCAAATTCATGTGGATACTTCAGCGAAAAACAGCTTTTTTTCAGAAGCATATACGTTTTAACTTGATGCCTGCACTAATCAATAATCCAAAACAAACCTTAGTTATGTTTCGGATCAAAACCCTCTGATCATCCTGGTGGGTGTTATAATGCATCAATCACAAGCGACCAGGGTGTTACTAACAGTTCAGCTCAGTAAATCAACAACATCGCCTGATGAACACCGGCAGTACGCACTTGAAATGTGGACTGTCGTGAGACAAACGATGAGCGAGCCTATCATGGCACATAATTATAAATGTGGCTGAATGAATATTTAGGCAAAGTTAAACTCGAGACATAGCTAGCCAGCAGTCTCTGGAAGGAGATATGCGGGGCGCCCTTATCGCATCGCAAGGGTTCATGTGTTTGTTTTTACAGACTTTCTCTTGAGGTCAAGGTCGATCACGTGTCGTTGTCTGTCCTGGCTCGTGCCCCCTTACGGTAAGTATATGGTAACTCTGTTAACTTCGACTAATTAGCAGTGTGACGGTGCCTTAGTGGATGCCAAGCTCAGGGCTGTCAAGGTTACGCGTTGCACTCGACTTCACCTCAGGGCTTCACAAGCCTCGCGGGCACCTTCCACCACGCTCATCTCTGTTAATGAGGTTAATTAGAATTGTGTGTTAATCACCTGTAAGTGTATTCTGTGACATTTATCTTTCCTCGCAGCCCAGTGGTCTCTGTACGGCTGGTGAGATTAACAGTGTTTCCAAATAGACAGTAACGAGGTTTCTTCTGCCCCACAACACCGGCCACAACTTCACCAGAATGAATACCGATTGTGATCTATGACAAGAAAAGTGAACCCCAAGAAATGCATTGTTTCACAACATAGTTTCACTAGGAACAAAACAAGAATCATCCCTATCACATTTACATTGGAGTTCTTTCATGGCCCTACCCCCAGTTGTCACCTGGGGCCGGGGGAGGAAGCTACTTTCAAATAGAAGATAGACTCTAGTTCATCATCAGCCAAGGTCATGAAGGTGTGGTGTGAGAGAGAGAGAGAGTGCAGCGCATACGTCAAATCAGTTTGATGTACTTCTTGCATTGAAGAAAATAGGCCCCAGTTGTTCAAAAGGTTGATCGCCCTATCCACCCGATAAATCTCTATCCAGTGTATAGTCCAAATGTTTTTCCTAACATTTATTTGTTTATTTACCGTAGATGATTGATTAGGAGCCGCTACTCGAATAAGTGCCGCGGCGCTAATTTGGGTATTTACAAATTAACGCCCTACCTTTATTACGGAGCTTGATATAAAGAGACATCGAAACCATACCGCTTGAGAAATAAGACCTCGACCAACTCATGAGTTCTAATGTTTTAATGTTGGGAAACTCTTGAAATCAGGTTCGTAATAAATAACAGTTAGAGGTGCACATATTTTATACTAAATTGTGCATACCTAGTTTTGGCCTCAGTTAATTCTCTCTATATTCCCCTCAGTGATTGTTTTTTGCCCGTGGTTGAAATAAGCGCCACTTGAGGTGTATAAGCGCCGCACACATGGCAGGGAAAATGAAATAAGCGCCGCAGCGCTTAATCGATCATTGACGGTATTTATTTATTTACAAACTTCGCCAAGAGGCCTGGATAACTGACAGAGCAAGCTCCAGTATGAGGTCCACAAAAAAAATAACACTAATACATACAACGATAATGGTAAAGGTAATGGTGTTGGCTCTAATCGTATTCAGCAGAGTACCGAAAGGAGACAGTGTGCCTGGGTCTAGTGGGGTACATTACTGAAATAGAAGGATCCGATAGACTAACTAAGCGTTTGAATACATACACCAGATCTAATCCACTGGATAATGATTTGTCTGGTGGATGGTGTTATCCCGCTTTTGAACAACTGGGACCAGGTTTCACCGTTGTAGCATATTTTTTTCTTGTTTTTTTTTCGTCGTTTAACACCCCCAAAATTCATCGATGTAAGCTCTGCCAAGTGTGAATTATTGTCCTGCATCGCAGTTTTTTTCCGTTTTACGTTTTTCTTGCTCTTTCTTCTACATGAATGAAAGCATGGCCGCTACTGAAGGCCAAAGTACCAACCAGACAGGGCAGGCAACTCCTGCTGTTCATGATGAGATTGACACTGGTCATAACAACCAGAAAAACCAACACTCCCAGCTGATGACTCATAGAATCCAAATCAACCTTCAACTTACATGTATTGAAAGTCTCGTTTAATTTTCACTTCAAATGAAATTCCTGTCCGTTAAACACCCTGCCAAATATTAAACTGCATACCCCCAGAAAATGAAAACTTTAGCTATAGCCCTACTCCTCACCCCCAGCGGGGGGGGGGAGGGGGGGGTTACTGCCAGGTATGGGCTATATAAGTATGTGCTGCTGTGAAAGGTATGGTTTTTAAGCAGTTTACTCTGGGATAGGGTAATGGGGTATATAAATCTGAGAGTTTGGATCTAGAATAGGGTATCATTTTCCAAGAAACCAAAACGACTAAAGACTAAACGTTAAGCCTTCAACCAATTATTGGTTGAAGGCTTAACGTTTAGTCTATACTAAGGAAACCGGACTTGCCACTCAAAAATATTAAAAAATCAAATCCGCAAGATTAATTTATGCAACTCAGCCTAAAAGCTACTCTAGAATAGGGGGGATTTGGGGAGTTAAGTCTAGTATGCAGTGTCTGATCTAGAGCGCACCATTGAGGGATTGTCACGGTTTGAGCAAAGATGTCCCCCTCAAATACCTGTTCTGGGTCATTTTGGCGCACTTCAAATTGTGTTTCAAAAGAAAAAGAAACAAGGAAACTTTATTTCTCCTTGTGCAAAATCTTCTTAAAACAGTATTTTGGCTTAAATTTCAGAAAATTAGAGGAAAAGCAAGAACCAAAATCCAGAGAATATGACGTACGTAAAAGGCTCAATTTTCCGAGGTACCCGGGCACTAGTTTGAACAAAGCTATAGGGGGGTAGATTACGTAGATCGATGTGCTCAATTGAGAGCCCCTGCTCTTGAAGTGCGTGGATGCAAAGTGATGTCAAAACATTGAAGGCTTTCAGCAAAAAATTCCTAACGTACACGCATCCCCCACCACCCCCCTACCCCTCTTCTGGGCTGCTTCCCTATCAGACTACAACAAGAAGAGTATACCTGCATCTTCTTGCCGCGAGCATTGACTTCTTGTACAATGTCAATCATATCAAGCGCCAGATTTGCAATGTTGACAGCATGTCTGGAACACCTTGTTGGTAGACCACTGACTGCCATGTACTTGTCCCCTACTGTCTCAACCTAAAAAAAAAGTGTTACAAAGATCAGCATATGATTTCTCCTCACTGGTATCAATAGAAAACCAAGAAAAGAGTTAGAGAATGTAAAAACAAGTTTTTTCCTCTGATACCAGAGAGCAAGACTTTTGTTAATAATCATAATAATTATAATGAGCAGACTGTCATGCACTGACAAAAACCTTTCCATAACACCATGATATGTTTCCTGCTTATCAGTCTGGACTAACAAATCAGTAGTTTAGCGACTAAACATCACACTGGATGTTATAAAAAGAACTTCTTTCTTTGTAGCTTTTGGAATGTTACTTTCTAGTAGCAATGGACATACAAAATGCAATTAGTTGGAGAGATCAGCATATTTATGTGCTTCATTTGAGGTACATTTGAGAGGAGAAGGAAATTGATTTTGTGATGAATTATTAAGTCAAGTGAGGGAGAGTCTTACAAATAGGCATTATTTCTCATGACTTTACAGGGGTGAGATGATTACTGGTGACCCAGGGGTTTTATTATGGCCCACAAATAAGGACAGAAACAAACATTTAAACATATTAACAGGGTTAAGAATCCCAACTGGCCGGAGGCTAACCAGTTGGCTGTTTACAACTGAACTTGGGACTACAGAGAAAAAATCCAGCTACAGTAAGGCATGAAACTTTTAAGGGTTCTAATTTTTGTGATTTTTCTAGTGATCTGCAAAAGTAAGTTTCCCCCAAGTAAAAATTACTGCAAACATTTTTCCCGCAAAAATTTACTCCGGAATATTCTCTTACTTAAATTCCCTGTGCAAAAATACAGTACTAAGAAATCGTGTCTGTTAAATTACAACTTGCCTCATAGGGTATGTATATCGTAGTATTGTAATATGTATTTCTATTGCACGTACTTAACAATAAAAAAAACAAAAATATTATCAATTCTGGGTACTGGGTACTTTCTGAAAATCGCAAAAATTAATTCCAGCTAGAAAAACTAACCTGTCCTAACTGCAAAAAATTAGTTCCCGCAAAACACAAAAAATCACCAATCCACAAAAAAAAACTCCCGCAAAATTTTCGTGCCACACGGCAGCAGTTGGGGCAGGGATTGAACTCAGCACTTCTGGATTTCTAGCCTGCAAGCAAGCACTCCATTTGGGGAAGTCGTGCTCTCTCTCGGCTCGCTTCCCTCGCCATAATTGGAGAGCTTGCTCACAGGCTACTGAATTTCAATTACAGAACTCTAACCACTGGGCATGCTGCCTCCTCAGATATGACATCTCAAATGTATACCTTAAAAACTTCAACGTTCTTGTCAGCCAGATTATCAAACTTTGTGTAGGTCTCATTCAGAAGCTCCACAATCTCCATTGGCTCAGTGCTCTGATTACAATAATGAGTGAAATCGACAATTCCACTAAACATGATGGTCACCAGCTCATATTTTTTTGCCATAACAGGTCTCTTCAACCTCAAATCATTAGCCACTGATGTTGGAAGAATGCTGTATAGCAGTCTATCTGTTAGCTGCTGTTCTTTTTGAAGTTCTCGTGCTGTCTGTTGAAGCTTGTCGGTGAGGATTTCAAGTCGACGTGAGAGGTGCGACTCTGCATTGTGCTGCTCAGACAGAAGAATAAGATCTCTAGTGGCATCGTGGATAGGAATGTCACTGAGGTACAGACCTGGAATGAAAAATATCTTCTAAATAAGTTCAGTCAACTGAAAAATGTTTGGTTTAGATGCATGAAAAGCAGCGTGCAAAGAAAGTGGTGTCCGATAGCGTGGGGCTAGTGGATTTTGCTATCGGGCTAGTGAATTCTGTTTTTAACTTGCCCAATGGGCAATTGATATTTTTTTTAGAAATTCGAATAACAGAAGAACTGTAATCAATCCTGCTCATCAAATTTTTTTCGGGCTAGTACACGCTACAGCTTGCCCAAATGGCAAGCTGTAAAACTGACTTTCTTTGGACCCTGGAAAAGACACATACAGTCAACACACTCCTTGCAGCAACAAGTGACCATCATTTAAAACCCAGGGTAGCTATGACTTACATGTCAACTCTGTAATGTAAAGCTCTCGTAAGAAGTGACTATTCTCTTAGGAAGCTGTGGTCTTGTTTGTGAATCACCCACTTGTCTTTCCCTTTGTTTTAATGTTCTCATAAGTGACCACTCAATCAACACTTGAATTAAAGAATTAACTGTCTTGGCCAATTCAATAAGCACTAATGGTTTACTTCAAATGTGACAGTAAATAGAAAAAACTATTTGATATTATTTTACCTGTGGTTAACATATTGTGAGGCCCAACTCAGTGCCATACCTTAAAATGGCTTCTTTATATATCAAGTTTCATGTTTTTGATCTGCAGGCAACAGACTTACTGTTTGCAAGATGTTTGTGCACTAAGGTTTTGGTATACTCACCCACTTCATTTAATCCATCCAAATTGAGAACACTTGGTGAACAGAGGAACAACATGCTATCACATTCAGGAAGGTAAAGCATTTGCCCACGGAATCGCATTGTTGGTAATTCTAGAGTACCAATGTCATCCTCTGAAACTGTTGTTAGAGTAGCAGAATCCAAGAGGCCCTCCTTTGTCTTGACAACATACACCTTGTTAATGAACTCCAAAATCTGATCAAAAGTAAGGGGAATGTGCGGGCGGATAGCCTCAAACACTTCATCAACCCTTGTCTGGCCAACTTTAACCGATGGTAGTACTCTTGTCAAGGACACACCAGCTTGATATATCACCATATCAGTGTCAAACATGATGTGAAAAGGGCATGCTTGGCAAAATGTTTGATTGCTGATTCTAGAACTTAATGTCACTAGTTCCAACTTCTGCTCCATCCTTTGAATTTGTTTGCAATGTTGTCTCATTTGGTTTATACCACTGCTACTCTCTGGAGTGACTAGAAACTTGGACCAGGCAGACTTCTCTGTTTGGTTCACTGGTTCACATAATTCAACATTAACATCAACATTGAAAATTTTGCTGGCTACTGACTTCACCATGCCTACTACAAGATATTCAAGCCCAGCTCTTTCAGAAAAGTACAGGATTTCAATGCCACTGCCATCGGGAGTGTCTTTAGCATGGAAAGAAGGCACTCGCATACCCGGGAACACGAACAGAAGATGTTCGTGAATAGCATCTACACTGTTGAAAAAGTCCTTTAGGTTACTGCCAAGATTATTAAGAATGTTATCATAGCCAGCATCTTGGATATATTCAAAAAATATTTCTCCAAATTTCTCCAAGACGTAGTTTTGAGATAGCCCTAAAAAGAAATGAAAAAATAAATTACTTTCAAATATAAATAATTATTATTGATTAAATGACAGTTGAGCTTAAAGATTATCACTGGATCATTTTTGCACTTTTAGAGCTGTGTCCCTGGGGAAAGACCAGAAGGATTTTGTAATCTGACAGTGACTTGTGATAAAATGCTAGATTCTGCTTACCGGTTTTAGTTGCAAAAATTTTTTTCTGCTCGTCATGGCCACTAAAATGGTTGCAGTTTGGAGCACTGAATACAATATCAAACTTTGGGTCAGGTCTGACAAAAGATATGGAAAATTGCATCTTCTAGTTTGGTCTAAACAAGGGTAAAGGTTACCTTTGATCAAGCTTCTTGTTTTCTTTTAAGGGAAGCGTGGTGGCAAAAGGGAAAAAGGAAGACCTGATTCATTTACTTCATGAGTTGTCTGCCAACAACCAATCAGATAATAGTGATTTATTTTACCTCTGTGTCGCTTTTGGGTGGGGTGCTCAGTCTCGCAGGCTCATTAAGCCTGGTCTCAGTCATTCTTATTTAAGGATTTTCTAAAAATTAGCACTACTCAAATGTCAAACAAATCCTGTGCCATACCCCTGTATGCCCCTGGAGTTGATGGGGGGGGGCAACCTCAGGGATGGCTGCTGATAAGTGCATAATAGGGACTTAAGATCCAACGACGTGACGGCAACGAGAGCATCGCTTAAAATGTGAATTTGCCTTCTTTCGTCTTTATCACAATTTTTATTATTTCTACCCACTTACTTTGTAAAATGTAGGCACACCCTCCTGAAGTTGAATTTTAAGGGACCATATTCAAGTTCAGAAAGAGAAATAAAATTTCGACGTCGCTTGTTTACATTCTCCATAAAACACAAAATTAGGCATTTTCACGTCGTAGTGGTGCAAAAACAGGAAAAGAAAAATACAAACAAGTGTGTTGCACGTGCAAAGTTATTATTTTGCTTATAAAACCTATGGTTTTTTGACATTCTCATTGCCGTCCATGTCGTTGGATCTTAAAGTTCCTAATATCTCTTCAAGATGGCCACGCTGCAATATATTCTGAAGTTGCTCCCACTATCAGCACTTTCTCAAACATAATTTACTCTCTTTTGTGTTCCGCTTCGAACTAATCTCTTCCTTGGTATTGGTATGTCTGGGATGTGTTTCCCGTAGCGAGGATGTTAAAACCTTTTTAAACATTAATAGGCTCTAATCACTTGCATTTTCCATGATTTGCATTTTTTGATAAGTGACACGGACCTCAGACGTTTCATTAAATTTATTTTGACAGGTTCGTGTTTAGTTGGATCGCAAGGAAATATATTATCTCTGGACGAATCGGTTTTCAGTTTACAGCTTGTAAAAAAATGACTGCAGTTTTTTTCTGCAACCATGCATGGCAAAACTCAAATGGACAAAGAGAATTATTATCGGCGCCTCTGTATATGGTCTTGACAATACAATGCTGTTGTTTATAAACGCTGTTGTTGAGCGCTAATTCCGTATCGAAACAACGATAAACATGAATTATTTTCTTACAAATGGCAATAGAATTTTTTTTTACGAAACAGCTTACTGATCCACGGGGAATATAGCGCCGGTGAAAGCACAGAAGCATAACTATTAGCTTGTGTCAATAACACGCCCGCCGCAATAAGCTAACATGTACTGTAAATCTTACCTAATGTTTCCGAAACAACCCGCAGCAAATCGACTGTGTTCTGATCATCATAAATCCGGCGCTGGCTGAATTCATTTGTTTCTCCCAGATCAACATTGGCCTTCTTCCTACATGTAAGTACAAGGCACAGACCGGCATAATGAGTACGTTGCTCTGACGGACTTAGCAATGGCTTTAAAATGACAAGTGAAACATAAGATTAGGCGGAAAAATACTCACAGTATTTCCTCCCAGGTCTCAAAACTGCTTTCCCGTATCACAAACTCCTGCAGTGCTTGGTTTATGAAACCATACATGGCAGTTATCTGTGGAAATCCACCGAAAAAATGCCAATGCTTTCGACGACGCCTGAATTAGCCGATCAAAACAAATGCAGAATGTCAGGTTGATTGCAATTTGCATTACAATGGCAATAGTGTCATCGCTAATCGTGCCGTGGATAACGGTGATAAGCGTTTTGGACAGGATTAACTATAAAGCTCTACATGTATATGACCCGGAACGAAAAATCGCCAGAAACTCCCCAGCCACTTTGACACATCCGTAGCTAGCGATCATCGAGAAGGGTCATCCGATCCAGTAATCAAATGACAGTGGGGGAACATAAGGGATCAATAAACTAGGGATCACTACGTGGTCGGCGGTAACGTGCCTCGATGCGCCCTTCAGCAATTGATTTAATCCAGGACGAAAAAAATGTTTACTATCCCGCTAAAAAAAACGCAGCTTACGCGCAGAGTGTGTCAGTGCAGAAGCCTACGTCGCCTGTACACAGACGATGTTTTATTTTTCTTTTCTTTCTTTTGGAAAACATTGGCGTGCCCGAGCACAAGGCGAGCACCCCTACCCCTTTGTGCTGGCGGTCAATAAATCCCCCTCAGTTTATTTTTTATCACGCGCGCTCGACGGACTTTGAAGAGAAAATTAGAGGGTCTGCGAACAGCTAAAGCCTACGCAGCAAGGTTCAGTTAAACGTTATGAACTTGGACGCGGACACTTTTATTTATTTATTATTTTATTGCGTTCAATTTCCTTCCCTCCCTGGTCAAACACTTCACATAAACATCTCGAACAGGTCGTGGACTCCAACATTTTTAAGCCCGGGGGGTGCGGTACAGTATTGTCGGTTACTTGCAATAAAATACAGACGTAAGAAAAAAAGGAATGTCTGAAAACCTTTGGCGATGACCGTAAACCCAGAATTCAAAAAAATGCTGCGCTTTTACTTTCACAGGGCAAAAAATATCCTTTTATGTTAGGTATTTTATGGGATCTATCACTGAACACTATTCCTAACTCGAACTCTTAACCACGTGGTGTATCAGTTTACTCTGGAGTTATTATTATTTGCGCACATTTTTTGAGATATTTAGAATCACGTTTACGGCGAACGGCAATTTGGACAAGTGACCAAATAAGTACACTTTCATACCAAGCTTTTTCCATAAGAAATATTTTGCACAGTTTTTAATCTGTTTGTCTCCTACTTTGAGAAATTGCCAACTTGAAGCTTACGTTCGCCGTTTGCCCGTAATAGTGATTCTGAATCTCTCTATTATCGGGTGGTTACTTCATACCGCCAGAGTTCTGATCAGTCACAAACTGCGCTGCTGCTTTCCCTTACCTCACTGGGTTGTTGGGGCACCACCGACAGCCTCAACAGGTTTTAAACTACTTCCCCTGTTCTCTTTTTCTTTACTAAGGCAACTAAATAAAAGACAGACTACCAGGCTTGCTGGAGGCTACCGCCCCGCTAGTGCTCGCTGAAAACTAGCCAGCGAGCAAGGTCTCTGAGAACGGAAAGCTTGCGCACAGACTAGTTTTTTTAGCTAGCAGCCAGTGTTTCCCAATACCAGAAACTTGAGCACCAAGCTGGGGGAATGTCTACAGCTTGTCTTCAGCGACTACTGTTTGCCAATCAAGAATTATCTTCTCTGGAAGGAACATGAGAAGGAAGGAGCTGCCGTCTGGAAGACGAAAGTGGAGGCGAGCAGAAGTGCTGGAACAGATACAGCATAATAATTCCGATACAGCAGATAATTCCGTCGTACCTAGGTCACACTTAGGTCACACTTAGGTTTTCTAGGGGTTCAATCTAAGCTGCATCGCTTGTAGCCTAGCCTCCCTAGCCTAGCCTTCCACGTTCTTAGGGTTAATATTCATCACGCATTCCTAGCGTGAAGCGCCTGCCCTTTCCTCGTTGAGATTTCCTTTGTGCCTTTTCGTTTTTGAAGGTTTCCCATGATCCTTGCGCCGCGACTACGACCACTGTCGAAAATCCCAAGAAAAGATCGTCTGCGTGGGAGGCTATATAGCTCGTGCTACCATTATCCCCTACGCGAGCTCCGCGGTTGCGCTCGTATCCAGCAATCCGCCTTTCAAGGCAACCCACGTGCTTTTACTCACCCTGGTAACCCGTTCTGTTCCGCGCTCCCCGTTTAGCCTTTGAAAAGATTCTGTGAAAAGGCAAGGTTCTGGGTATGGTATCACTAAGAAGACTAAAGAAAAATTTCATCGCATTGTATTCTGATATATAGTCATCATAATAAGAAATTTATCAAACACTTATTAAACATTTTAATTACACCTTGATTAAATATGTGAATCCAGAAAGCACTTTCAATTAAGCTTTCAGAAAGGAATTACTGACAAAAAATATAATATAGAATCAGATAAAGGGGTTATCAAAAAATAGTGCTGACTTTCTGTAATTATTTACAGTCGCATACATTATACTGGAAGCGGGCATTTTGAGGTATATTTATTTACATTTAATTGTTTGCTTAATTTTTTTACTACTAATTTCTAACGGTCTTACTCCGTGTTCTGCTGATCACTGTACTTTATCCTCATAATAATAATAATAATAATAATAATAATAATAATAATAATAATTATTATTATTATTATTATAATTATACTACTACAGGAGAAATTTCTGCAATTTGATTGGCTTAGAGCAGTGGTATTTCAGCTTAATTTGAAATACCTACATGTAAAAATTACAAACCTTTTGCGGGTAGTAGTATAAACAGATAATGGCAGGATTTGTACGTGATATTTGGCATCAATACCACTCGTGATATTTCAAAATTGTCTCAAATTTCACTCCCCTAACGGCTCGTGAAATAACGTATAACAATTTTGAAATATCACTCGTGGTATTTATGCCAAATATCACTACAAATCATGCTGTTACCTATACTAATAATATCAATAAAATAATAATAATAATAATAATAATAATAATAATAATAATAATAATAATAATGTACACTTAATATACAGCGCCTTCCTCTCAGTGATCCAAAGCGCTCTTCAATCAGTAAATACTTAGAAAACACAAAATAATTCAAATACAATATAACAGGATTTAAAACCCCAACTGGCAGGAGGCAACCAGTTGGCTATTTACAAGCCTGGCCGAGGATCTGAACTCAGGACAATCAAGAACAAATCCAGCAAGTGGCCAGAGCGGGACTCGAACCCGGGACCGCCGGATTGCAAGTCCGACGCGCTAACCACTCGGCCACGTTGCCTCCCTCATTATATTGAGACAATAATTCAAGAGATAATCTGACAATAGCAAACAACCCAACTGAAATGTTTTCTTGGAAAACAAAAGTTGAGGATATTCGCATTTTGCAGTGTCTTTAATTTGCTATGTTAGGTCTTAAAGCACTGATAAATTGTAAACGGCCTTTTAAAATGTTTCTGCGTTCTAGATCTGTCATCCTAGGGCAACTTAAACTTTTTCAAAACTACTTGTGAAGGCAAAACCACACGACAAACAAGTGAGGGTCAGCCGAATCTTTAGTAGACCTGGATCACAACTTTATGTTTGCTTTCTTTGAACTTCTATATTTTTTCCATCACTCCTCCTGCCGTAAGGATAAGTTTACTGTTTGATTGTAGAATTTTTCGAAAGTCTTGTTTAATTTAGAGTCTATTCAGACCAGGGTGCCGTGCCTTTGAAGTCCCACACCTCCCCTTCTTGCTAAAAAGTTGAACAACTTCAAAACCGTTTAAGGTATGACCACCAAACTTAGAAACTTTTCCTAACAATTACCAAGAAACATTTCAAAGTCGTCGTAACGTGCAGGTCAACATTGACGTTACCATGGCAACCAAGTATTGAGAGCCATGTTTTTTAAAATTGGCTTTTTTCTTTAAAAAATGGATTTTGTTCTAAAAATTACTAATTGAATTTTGTCAATAGGGTTAAATCTTAGACGCTTTTTAAATCCAAATTTTCGAAATGAAAATTTTCTAGGCTTCCTTCGAAAGAAATAAGAGGAAGCGAAATGAGGAAAAACCCAACAGATCCGACAATGGTAGGAAGTTTAAATGAAAAGGTCCGAAAAATTGAGATGAATGGAAAAAAACAGACTTCGCTTGGCGCCCCTAAGAACGACCATATAAACCTAAAAGTATATTTACAATGATACCTTTGATTCTAGCATTTTACTTGAGAATAATTCTACGAGATTTCTTTCGCTTCCTGCTGAAGAAAGTTGTACTTAGTTCCTTTTCACTCTCTTTGTTGTAATGTGAACGCACCACCCAAGTCAGAAGAAAAACCCCTTGACAGTTTTTCCTCAGCTTACCTTCAGATCCCCCTCCCTCCCTCCCCCCGTCCCCCTCGCGCGGCGGGGGCATCTCCATATGAAAGCGCCGGAGATGCAGATTTCTGACTCACTTGTGGTGTTGAGGACCGAATATCAACACTTTAACCTAAACAAGTATCGCTTAAGAAATACCCATATAAGAAGAAAAAACCAAACGCCCGTCATAGTGTGTTATTAGGGACTTTAAGATGAAAGGACGCCACGAGCAAGAGAACGTCGCTTAAAAAAGAGAATTTGCGTTCTTTCAGTCTTATTCCTACTCACTTACTTTGTCAACAGTAAGCGACCAACCTGGTGAAGATCGGAGAGTGGTTTCAAATATATTTTTCCTAGACATTCTAGCAGTTCAAACCTATCTACAGCAAATATCACGATCAGTTTCAAGCTCCTTTTTGCAAAAAAGATACGAAGAGATCTGGTTTTACTTTGGTTTCTCGTGGTAGCAATCAGGCCGTCAAGCAGTTTCAACATATTTGACATATTCATAAGGTGGAGTCAATATGTTGAGTGAGCTCCACAAGTTCTTCCAGAGATTCCTCATCCATTCCAATTAACGACGCATCCCCATTTAAGTCTAGTCTTCCTTCGTCATCGTCATCATCTTCGTTCTCTTCGATGCTCTGGTCCCGGCTAATGCTCTTTGACTTGAAAATGGGACATGTTCCATGCACAGTTGTTCTCCGCTTTTTGTTGTTATTTCCCTCCTCTTTCAGAAGTTCCAGCCTCTCATTAACGGACATTACATCTACCGAGCTCACCCTTCTTGGTGGCATCCCGTCAGGGTGGGCGTGTCTAAAAGCCGCTGGCCCTGTCTCGCTTCTTCGCTTCATCAGGGGCGAATGTGTAGGGGATGCCATTGGTGATCGGAACATGCAGACGCTGTTAGGAGCCACTGAGGCAGCGATGTCCATAACTGAGGGCTGGTTCTTTGCATCCTTGCTCCTTGTCAAGAAGAAGCAATTCAGTGGATTCGGGATCTCAGTGTTTGGGGTGAATTCAAACTCCTTGGACTTTTGAAGATAGCTGTTCTCAAAGAAATACAAATAGTCTAGACTTAGCGTTGACAGATAAGGTACTTGGATAAACAAAATTCGCTCTTGAGCGACCCGGCTTTATAGCTAAATTATTTGACTAGTCGGGTAGAGCCCGGAATGCAGCGTATGAGGTCGCGGGTTCGACCATCATTGGCGCGCAGACAAGTAAGGCACTGCTTCTACCAGCAAAAGAATAGACCTTCATATGGATCGCATCACTGCACATAGGAAGAAGCCCATTTTTCCTTATTTGAGTTAACAGTATGCGTTAATTCTAAAGAGAAGCTAATTTGAAAGGGGGCACATATTTCGTTCTTTGGAATTTCAGGATGAATGACATTGTCTTTGTTTCTCATGACCAAAAACTGTTTTTGCAGTACTGAAACCATGCAAAGTTTGTGTGTTATGTAGCACATATACTTGGCTTATAACGTCGTTTCGTCACCAAGTCCTATCACTATCCTCAAACACTACTGTCAGGGGAACAGCGTCATCAACACCCGACAGTGTTATTTTCCTTAAATAGGTCATTCTCTGGTGACTGTTTATTATGTTATGCTGTAACCAACTGTATACCTTACAATACCTCACATATATTCGGTAAGGAGGGGTGTTATAGAGAGGGTCACTTATTCCAAGGGGGGCGTGCTTATCATTCTCTTCCTTAGAACTGCGGTCCTTTTGGTCAGGGCCAGGGATCGATCCGTGGCGCTGACCAGAGGGATCGCAGCTCTGGGGACGAGAATGGCTGCGTTTTAGAATCTGGCCTCCAATTCCAGTATTTAAGCTATGTTATTGCGGGAGCCCGCAATCCTAATGTCCAGGTTGTTATTACGCATGCGTCGCATGTATCTAGCCAGTTCTCGTTTGGACTTCCACTAAAAATGAATGGAATGCACAGAACGCAATTTGATGACGCGCGTTTGGACCTTCTGTTACTCGTAATCTGACCACGCGTGTTTTGACCGTCTGTCAAGTGAAACTTACGCAAAGCACAGCGTTGGAGCAAAATCGTTTGGGCCTCCGATCGTTGTCGCCCGCACTCTCTAACCTTTGGTTACTACTAGTAATAATAATAATAGACAATGCTTGACGGTTCCCTAACCATTTCTTTCTTTCTTCTTTCTTTTTTTTGGCAAGAGGCTACATTTAAAACTATAGTAGGTAAGAATGAAAAATGCTATCACCATATTGTTGTTATTACTACTATCTTGCTAATTTTTTTCCCCTCACCGTTTAGTCTCGTAGCTCACGTTAATGAATCCTGGTTTGCTGCCGGACTCCATCTTGTTAGCCAGAGTTACAGTGCTTCCGAATAAACAATACCGAGGCATCATCTTACCTACAACACCCGCCATCACTGAACCTGTGTGAATTCCAATGCGAATCTGATAAAGAATGCAGGAAAACTGATTATATCAAGTTCGTGCACCATCCAAAGACGTTATTTTTGAAAAATTCAAAGTGACATTCACGTTTCCAAGGACGTTGCCTAGGTTAGCATCAAAGAGCTTATTGCAAAATGATTGTGACTGCTGAACAAAAATAAAAGCTAGTTTAGTCATAAGATGGCTGTATGATTATAGAGAAATCTGGTGGAAGATAGTAAGCTCCAAGTCTACATTTCAACATTGTCTACTGTACTATGTGTAAATTTATCTTACTTTTTTCGTCAAAACTTGCAATTGTGCTTCGATTTATTTGTGATTGTTTTGTCCTACTGGAAAATTAATTAGACGGGATGACAGTCGTGCTTAAGGGAGAGGGGACAATTGCACACCCTTCCCATCTAGTGCGCCGAACGTTCATTTCTCCTCATCTTTCGGACTTACTGTGAATTGCTAACCTGCCTAGCAGAAGGTTTTTTTGGGGGGAGGGGAGAGTGCGGGCGCCAACGAACAAGCTGGAGCTACGAGAACGGCGGCTAGAAAATTAAAAACCGATTTATCATTGCCTGTTCTTCACTTCCCTCCCGACTTTTGGCGCTCGTTCACACCACTCCCTATTGAAACCGCCAGCTACGGAGCTTTATTCCAAAGTCTGGATTACAAATTCCAATGAAGATTTTCAAATCGAGAGCACCCTACGAAATCAATTCTGTACACTAGCAACTACCTTTAGAGGCGTCCTATCGACAGGAGAAAGAACCTTTCTAGAAGCTTCCATCATGGAGCAGGCCATATGTGCTACTTTCTCGGCATGATTGTCACAAGGCTTGGGTAGTCCACCAACCACCATGTAAGCGTCACCGATTGTCTCCACCTACGGTGTTGAAATGAAGGTAAACTTTCTGTTTTCCAACAAAATCGGGGGAGGGGCAGCTGTACACGGGCTACACTTGATTTACACTTTTTATACTACTTTTTAAAAATTAAAATCAAGCCTTCGAGCCAGATCAGTCTTTTCCTAAATCATAAACAGAGCACTTAAACGGAATTTTAGTGAAAACTCTCAAAAATGTTGTTCTTATTTAAATTTCAGTAGAGGTCCATGATTTTTAAAAACTGTCGCGTATCATAAAAGACGTTAGTGAGTTTAAACAACAGGACCGGAGGCCGAAGAAGAAGACGGGCAAACCGTTTAGGTGTGAAGCTTGTCACACAAGGTTTGCAGTCTTCTTTTCTCTCCCGTCCTGTTCGGTAAACTCACTATTTCAGCGCTGAGAATACACTTTGAACTTCGTCTGTACTAAACGAAGCTCAAGTCGCACAAACAAAACATGTTAACTTAAGCCTGATCTCACAAAACAAAAGACTGAATTTGTCACGACAGTAAAGCCTTTTGTTGACAGTCGCTTTGTATTCGGTATTATCTATTGTTATTAAAATCTGGGTTCAAAAAGAACTTGTTTTGGTACGGCCATTAGTGATTTTCTGATGTACTGTCGAAAACAATGCATAAGTCACGAAGAGGTAGCGACTAAATGAAACTCTTCAGTTTCCTCACATTGTACCCGCTAGCAAACAAGCGCCATTTTTAAAGGGTTCTTAAATGCCCGATGTTATTGCGGCAGAAAAAGAACATTGGTGATACTCAGTCGGTGAAAATTGTGACCTGAGTAAACTAACAAACACAAACAGGGTTTATCGTTTTACTGCAAATAACAGTTTGGTCAGCTCTGGCATTAAACGTTTAGCTTTTGTGAAAGATATTTGCCGAGTATTCAATTCATTTATTCGAGGGGCGTATCAGAACTTTTGCCTTAATCCGTGTGATCTTGCCGCTTCAAAGAATTTTTTTTAAAGAAATGCCAATTCAAATCCTCGGTCATTAAAATATTCATTTACAAAACTTAAAGCTTATATGCTTTTTTCAGCAAAAACTAAGATTTCTTCAGAAAAATTGAACCCAAAAAAGTTTGATTGTTATTGTTTTTGTTACAATATCCTGGTTCGTCGCATTCATGGTTTTAGCAATAAGAAAACACTGCAGTTTGAGACCAAGAGAAACCAAATAAGAGCCAATCTATTTAAGTTGCAGACGAATTTGTCATTTTAAAATTTTATCTCTATCATGGAACATTACAAAGCACAAGTTCTCGGCTTTTTATGGACGAAGTAAAGAAAAAAAGGTGAAATCAAAAGTATGCGCAAGATGAAAAAGTGGATTTCTACTGTAGCGTAATTTTAAAGCGCGTACGCAAGTAATTTTTACGTGCGCAAATAAAATAGAGGCAATGTATGGAAGGTCACGCGTTTCCCTAAAAGTTGAACCTCGCTCAACTTTTACCTTTACGCTCGACCTTTCATATGTATTGCCTGTACTTTATTACGCACGTAAATTCAGTTTAAGCGACAGTGGAAATCCGCCTAAAGGGAAAAATCCTTTTCAATCACAAAGCTGATTTCAATTAGTTGTACCTCAAAACCAATTTCTAAACATCGCAAATTAACCAGATTGAGATATTGGAATTTACGAACATTACATTAAATAACATCATTCATGCAGCAGAATATTGTCTTGAAAATCCCGCAAGAAGATAAACCTAGGCTAATTATGAAAAGTACGAAATGCTTTTATGGGCAGTAATATAAATTTCCTATTAAAAGTCGTAATATAAACAGAAATGTTTTGTCTACACATTTAGCCTTGTCACCTGTCCGCGACGCGACTAAATGTTCACATAAACTCTATTATTTGGCTTTTAAATCATACAAATTTTTTCTCATCGAGTCTCGTATTGTAGCTACGGGCCGTGCACCATCACTTTTTGATCAAATTTTGTTTTCCTTCGTTAACCTTGAAACTTTTTTCTATTGCTTTAATGTAAATAAAATTGAAAATTCACAAAGGGAGGGTTTATATCGCGTCAGACGTTTTCAAGTGTTTCCAATAATAAAGCTCTCGTGAAAGTGGGAAAAAAGGACAAAAACGCTACTAGGGGTCGCTTAAATAAATAAATCCAGCCCATTCAGGAAACAGAGAAAACAACAGACAAATATATATGGCTGTCAGAAAAATTAAATAAAAGGTGCATTTGCATAAAATATTTGGGTAGCCGGGAAAGATTACCAGAAAGAAAACTATTAAAGAAATGGGGAATTTCTAGCCATCACTTCCTCGTTAATTATTGATCATGGAAATAAATTAAGATCCCGTTGATACTTTGCCAATTCTCTAAGAAAAATTAGTTTCGTCTTTCTGGTTCCCCCGCGGCGGTTTTTAATGCAGCTTTCAGACAAGAGTGACAAGTTCTTTATGAGAGGATTTAAAAGCTTTTATGAAGCTCTACAACCGACTGAACAGTAGGGTTGCTACTCGGTGGGCAATCCGCCAAGTGAATTGAAAGGACCGAAGGTCTTTCAAGACTAACTGAGACTCGTAAATATAATTTACCACCAGAGACACTGTTTAAATAAACTTTTGTCACCACAAAGTTGGCGTCTTGCTGGTTCACAATGGATAAGTTAAAAGGCCATTTAAGTTTATTCAGTTTTCACTCACCTTATAAACATCATGCATGCCGCTCAACATGTCAAAGTAGGTATACAACTTGTTCAGCATTCGCACAATGTCCATTGGGACTATTTTGTCATCGGAGCAGAGAGCTGTAAAACCCACAATATCGCTGAACAGAATTGTTACGATTTTGTAGTTTTCCGCAGGAACCGGTTGATTTAGCCGCAATTTAGCCGCGACTTCTTTCGGGAGAATTGAATGAAGTAGCTCGTCTGTGCGCTGTTTGTTCTCTGTAAGTTTGCTTTCCAGTTTTCTTAAGTCATTGCTTGTTTCTTCCAATTGTTCTACCAGCTCTCTCTCAGCTCTCCTTGCGTGAGACATGAAGATTAAATCACGTGTTGCATCGTGGATGGGAATATCATGGAAGAAAATACCCAGCTGTTTGAAAATTGCCATATTTGAGGCCCGCGGAGAACACAGAAATAAAATACAATCATTTTGGGGTATATATATCATTTGTCCCTTGAGGCGCAGTACACAAACAGCATTACTATCTCTCCGTCCTTGCAATTGACAAGGATCTGTCATTGCTCCCAGTCTAAGGGCAGTATGCTTTGCCGTAAAAATGAAAACGGTGTTGATATGGGAAAGTACATTCTCGAACGCGAATTCCATGCGGGGTCTCACGAGTTCAAACACATCCTTAAAGAAAAAAGGAATACTGATGTTTTTATTTAGAACGTTGCTCATTGCCACTCCTGCTTGCGTGACATTGAGCGCTCGATCAAACATAACATGAAATGGAAACGCTTTGCAGAATGACAACAGGCTTGGATCCTTGCGACTCTTTCTTCCGCCCTTTGCCGGATTTGACAGCTGACAGCTACTCTCTTTGGAGGTATTAAAAGCAAATGTCTGCAGGCCAAGCTTTGAATGCATTGCATTCTTACAGAGAGTTTCTTTGATTGCGAACACGACATGGTCATTGTCGTCTGATCGGGCATGTTGCACCGAGACTTCCACCTCGGTGCCGAGCATTTGCTTAGCCACTGCTTTCACAATTCCGATCACAATGTACTCTAACCCTTGCCTTCTTGAGTAGTAGTGTAGCAAAAGAGTGCCGTCTTTTGTTTCGGTACAACGAAAAGACGGAGCCTCCATCCCAGGGTAAATTGACGCAAGGTGATCATGAAGCGCGTCCAAGTTGCATAGAAAATCCCGCAGGTTTCTCCCCAAGACTTTCAAAATACGGTCATACCCAGACTGCACGCAGTAGTCCAGAAAGTGCGCACCGAACGCTTCCAAAACATCGTTCAAAGGAAGACCTTAAATTTAAAACAATCAAATGTCTCTGATATATTTTCAATTGTCATTTGAGGTAATTATACATTATCCCACCTGTGTTGCTTCGGTTCCAGGCGATTAATTGCAAAGAATCTAAAATTACACCTCAGTGGTACGCGTATATTTGATCGAATATCAGACAAATTTCATGACAGGAATATAGGAACTGTTCGAGAAAAGAACAAGCTATTTGGAACAAGCTTACCTAAGGTTTCACAGGCAGCAACAACCAAACTAAGGGTCTCTTCGTCATCATAAATTTTATGGATAAGATAAGAGCCGCCATCAAGCTCGACTCCAGCTTTTTCGCTGAAAGAGTAAAGGAAGAAAGACGGAGAAAAGGATCTAGTTAATATTCACACAGCGCGCGCGGTCATTCGAAGGCAACCAGATATTGAACTTACATGACAGATTTCCATGCATCTTCGCCAAATTTGCCGATCACTAAGTCGGCCAAAGCACAGTGAATAAAGCCATACTGCAAGAAAATGAAAATGAAATTTAGCAGGCCTGAGTGCGATCTTAACGATTAAATCAAGAAAACTCGCGAAATTCTCACCATTTTGCATCAATGAACAAGTGGCTTGTACGTCCGTTGGCGCTACCCTCTTCGGGTTGTGAATTTGCGGCTTTCCCTAATAGTTTTAGTTGATTGTTTGTAATCTCTTAGGTCACGTGCTTCGCTATCAGTCCCGGGCATCGGTCCGCTCCAATCAGATGAATTGGTATTGTCAATAAAACACCTTCAGCTTCTGTAACTCATCTGCAAAGTAATTGCCGCTGTCACAATTCACTCAACACAATATGAAGCAATCTATTTCGCGCGAAGTGCGCGCGGTTAAAAATCCAGTCTAAACACCTGATATTCCGTTGGCCCCGCGAGCCATTGTAGCTATCTGATGGTGCATCGTTCGGCTCCGGGGTCATGGCAACTTTCAACACCATAACACAAAAACAACTGTGCAGAGCTTACATCCGCCTGTTGCCTGACTCTGTTATTCAATTTTTTCCGCTTTCTTCATTAAGTCAACAAACAATCTAACACTCGACGTTTATGCTGTCAAACACCTCTGGCTTTACGCTGTGTTCCATCCTTGCAAAAAATCTGTAAATGTCCGCTCTTTTTCGTGTTTTTGTTACTGGAAGAATCGATAACAATTATTAACATAACTCCGCAGTTCATTTCCATAAGATGTGTTAAGATCAATCTTTACGACGACAGAAAAATGTATCCTCTATCAGTCCTGGCTTTGATGGCCTTATGGAAAGATCTACCCTTTAAAATGTGACGAAATTATTTGAAGGGTTCGTAGACATTGATACAAAAAGGGCAAAAATGATATTTTAATTGCTGTATTTATAATCTACCAGCGGGAATTACTGTCGGGTATTGACTGTAAACTGACCGTGACTAAAATTTGAATCGGGTCAGTATGCCAGTATGGGTCCTGATTCACTTGACTGAATCGAGACCAAACTTGAAGCCATTATTCCGAACAAGCTAAAGAGGTAGGACCAATCCTAGTATCCCCAAGGCGGATTCTTCTCCCTGGAACTTCTCATGGTTCTGAATATTCTTTAGTTTCGACGAGAGGATAAAGCTCTCTTGATCTCTTGATCATGCGGACGTGTTCTATTTTAGGCAGATGCTCATATAACACCAAGTCGAACGTCCTTTTTCGGGGACATTTGACGGATGCCTCCCGCAAATTCAGACAAAATTAAAGGTCACAAAACATATTTTTTCTTTCTTTGAACAGATGAATCACAAGGTCTACTTACCACCGCTTTCCACAGGCGCGCTTTTAAAATTAGAACAAATCCAATGACTAAGATACAGATGAACCGACCAGTGTCTATAAATACAGCGGAAAACCTGTATATTGAATAAAAAACTGTGATCAGTTCGGTGGCAGCGTAAAAACTGAATTTCTATGATATGTTCAACAGACACCCATAAAGTAATAATAATCAGGAAAATTACGCAATGGAACAAGAGGTTGCTAAGCGCCACTGGCATCAGCTTACTCGAGATTTAAATACAAATGCCATATTAATTTTGATATAAAATAGAGGTAAATATGCCATCGAACATCTTGAAAAATTAAAATATGTCTTATGCCAAAAGGCCTTCAGATAGCGCTAATTTCTTTCATCTAAGTACCTTAATTAGTTCGTTCGTTTGCGTCCCGCCCGCGTAACGAACAAAGCTGCCGCACAATGATTAACACTAAGATGAACCAACATACAAATACAGATAATCTGTAAATTTGAAACCGCCAGAGTTGAGTCATTTCATGTTTTATATCGATTATAGGATCTTTAAGTGCAGCCCTAACAGGCAGTTTTGGTATAAAGTTTTAAATATCATAACGCGAAACGGCTGAACGTTGTTATCAACTTGACTATTAAACCTTTTGGATGGCTACTCCCCGGGTGCCTACCTTTGCAATCGAGTTGAAAGGCTGTCGTCAAAAGGGAAACCTGTGTAATGAAAACATCATCGATGACTTTGTCTTAAAAGTAAATCTTTCCGCAAAGAGCACTTTCAAGTTGATCCGTTTATGCTGTGTCATATTTCATCAATGTCCTTTTTGATGTATGGATTCAGCAGTGTTCAGTGGTGTCGGAAGAGAGAACATTCGATCCTTAATCAAAATATATAGATGTTAATGCTACAAAAATGTATGCGCCTTTTTACGATTATGATTGTTTTTTTTTTTCGAACACCACTGTTTATTTTGTTTTCGCCAGTGAAATGATGTTGTAATTGCAGCCAACCGGGAAGACCGTGAAAATATATTGTCATTCATATTAACTCCTTCCTCTTCTTTTCCATTTCATTAACCTTGGCCGGGCTAACAAACATTATTTGTAGTTCTGTTATATTTCGTTCGACAGCTGGATGACTTCTGTCTGTTAGTTAAAAAAAATAAAAAAAAATGTTTGTTTTTGCAGCTTTTTTACTCTCAACAATTCAATGTCTTCGTTCATTTGAACAATATTGATGATGTATAAACAAAAACGGGCTGGCCAACGCATTACAAACGATTTCCGAATTCAGTATCATACAGTGGAACTGCACCGACTTCACTAAGTATCAGTAGTCTTCTAGTTACAAAACAATTTTTTGTGTTTTTCGTACCTGCACCGTCTCTTCAGGTAGAAACTACCAAGGCCTCACTCGCGACAAACGCAGGGTGATGACTTGGTAGCTGTCGGGGTGATATGGTTGTGGGCTCGCTATGGTAGTGGCCATACCGCGGAGTAAACCGCAGAGTTGGTACGTGTGGTTCAGTGCATGGTAATAAGCTGTAAATCCAGGGGCACCCAACGAGGATATAGTTCAAACCCACTTAACATAGCATTGTTGAACGTATTTTAGTATTCAAACGGTAGATATAGGCATATTTTTATCCCCTAAAAACTTTTCATCTGTTCGGATTTCCTAGCTGAATATCTAGTGATCCGAAAATTATAGGGATAAAAACTTACCTTCTCGAAAATTTCAGCCAGGAAAAGGCTCCCGAAAATTCTAGGTGGCCTTTTTTAGGGTCAAAATCCGTTTAAAATGAGTAATTATACCATTTTGTAGATGTTCGAAAATCCTAGGAGAGGCAGGCAAGCAAGAAATGTTACAACAAATGCTCCGAAAATTCTAGATCTCAAATCGCCTTCCGAACAGATATTTTCCCGAAACTTGCTGTTGGGTGCCCCTGTAAATCCTTTGTAATTTGGTCATGACTTAGCGGTTATCAGTTCCACATAATCGTGTAACACGTCAAATTTGTTTACCTTTTTGATGTTATACCGAGAAAGTTTCTTCTTAGCTGTGTTGGAAAAAACTATTTGAAATTACCCATATTTTTCCGCGGTCGTCGCCGAGGAATACTATTGGTTCCATCTCTCTCGAAACGGTTGTCACAATCTTCACTGGTAGTCAACAGAAATCAATATATGCAGCTTTTTTTTTTCTTAATGGCCAATATCAGCAAAGCGCGCCACAAGTTGTCTATAATATATATACATGTACTAGCTTTCATTTATGATGATCTTTATTATAACGTGCTTTGAGTAATGTCTATAGTACACACATCCAAATCTGGTAATAAAAATCTACCGCGGATTATCACAGTCTGTAAACCTTGGCCCCCTGCCGTGATCTTCTTTTCCTTCAAGAGAGTTGTTTAGTGAGCTTTGTTTCTTTTCAGTCCGGGCTCCTTAGCCTGCGTAGCAAGCGTTTAAAATCGAGTTAATATTCCGCGAAACGTTGAGCGAGAGTAAAAGAAATACTCTCGATGGTACTCCAGCTTTCTCAACGAACTCGCGCGGAAATGCTTGCTATGACTCAAGCTACTCATGATCAAGGCTGAGGGCTCAATCCTCAGGGGGGATACTCCTATACATTACCTATACGGGTATGTGCCGCCCAACGGGGTCGTGATTTTGAAGTTCCTGGTTTAGAACGGGGTATGTTTCAGAGGCGTTTTCTAGAACGGGGTGTGACATTTCGAACGCACGAAAGCTCGAGTTTTGTAAGCAGCCATTTGAAATTATTCAAGGACAGATTGCTTTTAAAAATACGGTTCAATGCGTTAACAAGCAAACTGTTATGCTCTTGTTGCTCCCTAGAACGGAGTATAAAAATTGGCCCATTTCTAGAACGGGGTATCCATTTTAGGGCGAATTCTAGAACGGGGTATAAAAAATTGGCCCATTTCTAGAACGGGGTATCAATTTTAGGGGAAATTTTTCTTAGAACGGGGTGCCAATTTGGAGTCCCGGGCGGCACATACCTACCCCAAAAATACCCAAGTGCCCCCCACCCCGGGCTCAATCCCTCTCTGAAGTTTCGAAAGTTTCCTCGATTTACGAGAGAGCAGCAGTCAGTGGAATCATCTATCATAAGAAGCGACTATGGCTGGTTTCTCCGCCTATTTCTTTGAAGCCAAGATACCGTTATCAGTTATGAGACAATTTCATGGGCTACAGTCGAATTTTTCTTTCGAAGGCATCTCGGCCAGTGATAAGGTCGGCTGACATGGCTCAGTCAATCAGGCCTACCGCTATGATATGGAAACCTCTATAAAATGACAACTAGGCTATTTGTTTCTTATTCGGTGCCCGTGGTGATAGTGTCAATTTTAAAAAAGCGAACCATATATACACTGAGTACCACAATCAATACCTGGTGGATAGACTGCATGCTATTGGGCGATTACAAACCCTCGAAATACTACCTTATTTACACCTCTGGGTCAGTCCATTGGCGATATCATATAATCAAGTGGTTGTATCAAAATTCCCGATCAAATAAGCTTCAGCTGATATCAGACCTGTCAGATGTTGACAATTAATTATAAAAGCTGGATAAAAACTCACGCAAGGAAAAAACCGATCGGAAAAAAAAGAAAGACGAAATTAATATACTTTCATTTGTGCTAAGATGAAGAAATATATAGCCATAACTCTTTCCCACACTCATGTCCGTTCCTTTTCTCGTTA